GGTGTTTTTATTGTCCTCTGATTTGTATGCATCTAAGTAGTACATCGCTGGAAGCCAGGCAAATGATGGCACTTCATGGACACACTTACTGGAAATGGGTGGTGATGTTTTGGTTAGAGACTTTAATGTGAACTGGGAAGTTGAGAGTTGGCATGCATGGATGGAAGGTGTGACTTTTGGTGTCAGCTTTGCCAGTTACTTAGAGCAGTGCTTTTACCTGTCCTGTGCCCACAGTTTGTCTCTCTCTACCCTCTTAATAGCTTCTTAAATAGAACTTAAAACTTTTAGGCTAACTATGCCTAAAATCCCTGCATGCATACATGTTGCCTGCATCTCAGAAAACTTGCTGCTTTCTCATCCGCTTTTCTTATGCTGAGCTAGCTTTCACCAAGGTTGGGAGTAGTTCTTGTGCAGCTGAACTGCACAAGATGTGTTGGGAATTGGATTGATTGGTTTTCTACATGGTTCTCCAAGCTACAGAACCTACGGTACATCTGACTTTTCCCAAAGTGCTGCTGCTGCTGCTTCTTTTTGGCTTTTTGGGTCACACGGGTGATGCTCAGGGGTTAGTCTTGGCTCTGCACTCAGGAATCACTCCTGGCAGTGTTCAGAGGACCATATGGGATGCTGGAAATCGAACCTGGGTCAGCCGCTTGCAAGGCAAATGCCCTACCTTATATGCTATTGCTCCAGCCCCCTTGAAGTGCTTCTGACCCCACCGTTAGGCAAGTTTGAGAGATAGAATAAGAGAAATGCAGCTGTGAGTTTTACTTAAACAAATTCATTATACTATACTATACTATACTATACTGTACTATATTGTACTATACACATTATACTATGCACATGTCTCAAATCAGATAATACTTTTGCTAAAAATTATTCACCATCTGAAAATCAGATTTGACTGGGTAGATTTTCATTTCTGTCTTTTTTTGTTTGTTTGTTTTCATTGAAATTTTGGACCACACGCAGCGGTGCTCAGGGCTTATGCCTGGCTCTGCGCTCAGAGGTCACTCCTGGCTGTGCTCTGGGGCCTGTATGTGGTGCCAGGGATCAAAGCAGGAGCAGCAAGTAGTGCAAGACAAGTCCCTCACTCCTGGACTGTCTTTTCCTCTCTGGGACTCTGCCAACAGCCCCAGGTGACCTTGGTTTGCAGGGAGGATGAGAGCCCCTAGTGTGAGTGCTGTGGGTCTTTGTCATGGCCTCTTTCATCCCAGCTGCCTTGCACAATCTGGGAGCTGGCGGTCTTCGTGTTTTATTTTATTTGCTGTACCAGGAACTGCTCCCGGGACCTGATACGCATGAGGCCCACGCTCTTTTTCTGAACCATAGTCCTTGCCTCCATCTGTTTTCCCCTCCTTGGGCATTGCCAATAAATAAAGGCCACTCAGAGCCCATGTCCTGCCGCCCACCACTGCCATGTAAGCTTGTCTACCAGCTTTCTTCCAGAGTCTCATAACCAAATCTCGAAATAGATCAACTAGTTGCCAGTGTTTCTTAGATCCTGGCTGAGGTCCTGGCTGAGACCTCTGGGGTGATCTCCGGAGCGGAGCAGGGACAAGTTCCTGCCCTACCAAAGCCCCAGCTGCTGCATTCACACCCCACAAGCTGCCTCCATGACTCCAGCCAGACTGCCCAGTTAAATATTCTAGATTTGCTAGAGCAACATCTCCGGACATTACAACACTGACATCCGAATAGCAGCATACCAGACTAGATGGGAATGTAACAGCCAACCAATCTCGACTAACAAAAACATGAACACAGAAGGCTTTACATGCAACAACAGCTTAGTAAACCCTCAGACAAGGACTTAATGCCCCCATGGTGAGATACAGCAATTTTCACAGATTTTCTGTGGCTGAAATATTTGTTGATCATTCTGTTAGCTATTTAGTGGTAACTAGCAATATATAAAATGTTATTTTGGGCCCGTTGAGGGGGTATTAAGAAATGGAAACTGGTGGAGGGAAGGTGATAGTGGTGGTGGGATTGGTGTTGGAATGTTGAATGCCTGTAACAAATCATCGTGAACAAATCAATAACATGGGGTGTTTAAATAAAGTTGGGGGGTGCTGGGAGAAAGGGCCATTCATTCTCAATGGATTTTTTTTTTCTTTTTGGGTCATACCCGGCGATGCACAGGGGTTACTCCTGGCTCTGCACTCAGGAGTTACTCCTGGCGGTGGTCAGGGGACCATGTGGGATAGCTGGGAGTCAACCTGGGTTGGCCGGGTGCAAGGCAAACGCCCTACCTACTGTGCTATCTCTCCAGCCCTTATTCTCAATGGATTTAAGAAATACCCAGAAACATTGTATGAGTGAAACTCAATCATGAACAACTTTGTAACTGTGTATCTCACATTGATTTAATAAGAAAAAAGGAAAGGAAGGGAGGAAAGAAGGAAGGAAGGAGGGAGGAGAGCAAAAGGAAGGAGAGAAAGAAAGAAGAGAGAAAAAGGAAGGAAAGAAAGAAAAAGAAAGAAGGAAGGAAGGAAAGAAAGAAAGAAAGAAAGAAAGAAAGAAAGAAAGAAAGAAAGAAAGAGAAAAGAAAGAAATGTCCAGGTGGTAAATGGCCAATTTCAGAGCTCAGTCCCTGAAGCCCTATTTAGCAGACCAACAGAGGAGCACGGGAATCTGCAATTTTCAGGGGTAGGGTGAGATGGGGTTTGGGCCTCACCTGGTTTGTGAGTGACACAGGGCCACAGCAGGGGGGCAAACTCTGATTTTGTGCTCAGGAATCACTCTTGGAGGTATCAGAGAACCCTATTTGGTACCAGGGATCGAATCTGCGTCAGCTCGTTCAAGGCGAATGCCCAACCTGTTGCACCATCTCTCTACTCTCCCTACCCGCCCCCAAGAAATTTGCAACTTCAGCTCAAAGGCCCTGGGGTGCTGCAAGCGCCCTTCTGATCCGTGTTTGAAAATCTGGTCCTGACAAAGGAGAGAAAAAAACTCAGGGGTGCCGCGTACATCCCTCTTGGCCTCCCTAGGTATGCGGGGTATGTACACCTGGGATTGGCAGGTCTTCTTGCAGTCCCTGAATTTGGCCCTGATGTGACCTGGGCATTGCTGAAGTCCCTGTATTCCTCTGAGGACCACTCCGGAGGGGACAGCGCATTCCGCCCCGCACAGTGGCATTCCTTCCTGCTGGTGGGCAGTGCATCTTATGCTGGTGAACTGTGCCATGCTGCCAACCACCTTTCTGGGCCTGGAGAGGAGCCCCTCACTTAGGATGGGTTCCAAAACCATCCCCACGCTCCTAACTCTCTTAGCTGCATCCCGAGGGATCAACAGGAAGTATGCCTGGGCCTCCAGGGTGGACCCCTGTTCTCCCCTCCACCTGGCTTTGGCCGGAATGCAGTGTCCTCGCTGGCTGGGGTGGGGGGTTGGGGGGGGCGACGGATGGACCTCAGACTTGAACACTGGCAGGTTTTTCTGAAAGGTTTGTTTGCACACAGCTTGCCAGCCCCACTCAGGCTCCTGCAAGTGGTCCGACTGAGTGGGGGTCAGGAATTTGCATTTCTCACTGCGTTCAGGTTATGCTGGTAGAGCCCCGGCCGCACTCCAAGCCAGTTTTCCCAAACCAGCTAGCTCCCCCCAAATGAAATGGCCCAGCCAAGGTCACAAAACCTGTGTTGGGGTGTTGGGGGTGACTGTCTTCTTGTCCCCAAGCCGCCTACGTCATTTCTCTCTATCCCATGGATTCTGCTCTATTCCACTCGGGCTTCCAAGCCAAAGACAGATATGCCCACTGAGGCTGAACGGGGTTCTGTGTCCCTTGTCCCCTTTGCTGTTGTGCAGGGTGGTGGCTCTGAGCCGCCCACACTCCCTCCCCCATGTCCTCCCCAGGAATGTGTCACCATTCAGACCCTCTTGAGGGCGGAATAGAATTTGCAAGTGCCTGGGTGTGTGTATAAAGGTTAACCTGGGGTGAGAGTTGTGTAAGAAGGTATGGAGAGCCTCAAAGTCCCCGGGGCCATCAGCCTGCTGGTTGTTAGGACACTGGGTGACATTTTTCTTCTGGCCTCCCTGCTGTGGCAGTGAGCCCAGCATGGTTGCATCTAACCCAAGGTGACCTGCCGGGGGAGACTGGACTCCCAAGCGGGGTCTGGGGGGGGAATCCTACGGAGCAGATGGGAAGCAGAGTGGGCAGGATCGAGGATTCAGGGTCCAGGGATCCCACCGGCCCCACAGCCGCTCTCTGCGGTACTGATGCTGGGCCTGGCCCTTCCCTCCCCCTGCATCCTACTCCTCTGGGAACCGGGACAACAGGCAAGGCTGCTGTTGATGCGAACCATCTCTGGTAACAGACAGGGCCCCGAGGGATGGGGGTGTTTGTTGAATCTGGGAGAAAGCCATTCTTGGGCTGTCCTGAGAGGCCAGTCCTGTGTGAGACCAGGGCAGCGGAGCCATTCCGAGTCATCAAGAGTACTCAAACGGGTGGCCACAGACTCCTATCCCTGCACTAGGGATATCTCCTCCTTCCTGGGGGGCTTCTGGGGGCTTCCGGGGAGGGGGGTGCAGAGGGTGGGGTTCTAGTCAGGGCTTAGGAGGATGCAGATTCCCACCTGGGAGTAAGAACTTTCCAGACCCCATCTTCCTGGGGCTTGGAGGGCAATGGTGTGTGCATTGAAAGGGTTCAGGCAAGACAAAAAGACAAGACAAGGGTTTAGGCAGGGCAAGAAGACAAGGTTCGCAAGAAGTATGGATACAATGAAGAGTGGAAAGGCAAAGACAGCAGCCAGTGAGGGGTCTTTTCAGTTGTATACATTGTAATATTATAAACATCGCCACTTCTTGTGGTGGTTGTGGAGGATTCCTTGGAATAGAAACAGCAGCGCGGCTTCCTGGCTCCTGGCATATTCTTCTCTGCTGCTCAAAGCAGTGATGGCTGATGGGTGCTTCCTGACCTCCAGCCCTCTTGCCGGGGGCAGTCAGCAGAGGTCTCCGCAGCCAGCAGACCCTAACACCCTGTTTCTCCCTCTCTCCTTCAGGTCTGAATACCGGTGTGTTTTATGCCCTATCCACTCTGCTGAACCGCGTGGTGATCGCACACTTCCCGGTAAGGGAGTTCTCAAAGCTTGCCGGGCCAGAGAGGAGGTGATTTCTGAGTCTCATAGCAGTAGAAGCTGGTAGGGCAGCTGCCTCTGAGCTCCCCGTCATGCCACTCCTAGTTCTAGCTGCCGTGATGTAGTGGGATGCCTCTGGGATCTGAAAGGAGATGGTGGGGGTCCCAATCCCTCAGCTCTGGTGGGGTTGAGCTGTGTGACAGGCTTGTTCTGTCTCTGAGCTTCCGTTCTCCTTTCTGCAAGCGAGATGGAATGATGGAATTCGGGAATGATTCTAAGTTGGGCTCCGAAAGCAATAATGTCCTTTGGCCTTAGCACGGTGCATAGCCACACAGTAGGTAGGTGTCCATCCGTATAGACTCACGTGGCAAAATATGGGTCAGGCTTAATTTTGAATTGGTAGTTGCTCAATTAAAAGCTTTAAAAAAATGTTTCGGGTGGGGTGGGAACAGAGCAATAATAAAGCAGGTAGGGCATTTGCCTTGCACGTGGCTGGCCTACGTTCAATCTCTGGCATCCCGTGTGGTCCCTTGAACACAACCAGTTTGTGATTCCTGAGTGCAGAGTCAGAAGTGACCCCTGAGCATCACTCAGTATGGCCTAAATTTTTAAAAAAATTAGTTTTTAGGGGTTGGAACAAATACTACAGCAGGTAGGGCTCTTGCCTTGCATGCAGCTGACTAGGGTTTGATCCCTAACACTCCATATGGTCTCCTGAGCCCCATCTGGAGTGACCACTGGAGTGACCCCATCTGGAGAGACAGGAGTAAGCCCTGAACACCACCAAGTGTGACCCAACAACAAAATAAAAACCAAAAAACCCCACACAAATAAAAAATGTTTCTAGGGCCCAAGAGATAGGAGCGGGCAGGGCTCTTGCTTTGCATGTGGCCAGTCCCAGTTTGATCCCTGGCACCTCATGGTCACCTGAGTACTGCCAGGAGTGCCCTGGCCCCCCACCCTGGGCATAGAGTCAGGAGTAAGCCCTGAGCACTGTGGACTGTGGTCCCCCAAAACAATAACAGTGACAGTAATAACAACAACAAAGGCCTGACAACGTTCTTACTGGCACCACACACCCCCGTCTCTGACCCCCAGCACTGTTGGGTGGACTCCAGGTGGCTCTTGAGCACTGCCAGGAATTGCCCATCCCTCCCAAATTAGTTTTCAGCATGAGTGAGGGCTGGATCGGACGATGGAAGGGTGCACGGGGAGTCTGGAATCCCAGGCTCCACCCTCTGAAAGCTCAGGGCTCTCAGTAGTCCAGACTCAAGTCTGACTCTGCGCCTCGTAGATGCCTCATAACCTCAGGCTCCAAGGCAAAGCTTACAGGACCTCGAGGAGAAAATACTGGATCTGGGTGCTGGAGAGATAGTACAGTGGTCGGGCACTTGCCCTGCATATGGCCCACCCAGGTTCGATCCCTGGCACCTGATATGGTCTCCGAGCCCTGCCAGGAGTGATCCCTGAGCACCAAGCCAGGAGTAAGCCTTGAACATAGCTGAGTTGGGAGGGGAAGGGAGGGGCACCCTCTCCCCTCCCCCCCTTCCCAAACAATACTGATTCCTGGTGGCAGAGGTAAAAACGAGAGGCATTCAGTGAATGCTGGCACAAAATTCCTGGCATGGTGCTTGGCTCCTAGTTAAACACACAGGACTATGGAAATGTTACTTTCCTATGGGGCTGGACAGGGTATACAGTGGGTCTGCTCCCCCGGGCCCTGTGAAGAGTGATGGGTGTGGCCCAAAAACCAAACCAAAAGAAAACAAATTCCTAAATATGGAATATGTGGAATGTTTTTAGTTTCTTCATCTGTGACATGAGATCAGTGATAAATCAAAGAAAAAGTGACAATAAGGATCAAATCTGGTTTAAATATATACCTGAATTATAAAGGGGCATGGTGACATTTTTGGAAGTGAAGGACGTATTCATTATACTGATATGGTAATCATGTCGTGCATGTGCTTATATGTATAATACAGAGAAAAATATTGTTATATTAAAATTTACATATATCTATACATTTATTTCTCTATGTATATATACATGTCCATGTATTCATGTATCTATCTATATACCTATCTTTTATGTAGAGGGGGGCGCTTGGAGCCATACCTGATTTTGCCAGAACCTAATCCTGGCTCTGTGCTCAGAGATCACTCCTGGCAGGACTCAGGGAACCATATGAGGTGCTGAGGATTGAAACCATGTTGGCAGCACACAAGGCAAACACCCTGCCCATTGTGCAATCACTCCAGTCAATATATATGTAAAATATTTTCCATATATATGTAAAAGTCATTCTGAGGACATGCAAATCCCTGGCACTGGTGTCACACACACACACACACACACACACACAAACACACACACACACACAGTCACTCAGTGCTGGCAGGAGCAGCCATTCTTGGCTTCTCTCCATGCTGGCAGCATTTTCCAAGCCGTCTTGCCTCTGTACTGTCTGTAAGTCACCTCCCCACTGCTTGCTTTTTGCCCCTTGTTCAGGCTCTTGTGTCCTTCTGGACTGATCATTGGCTGTGATTTTCCAGGGGGAAGAAGTGAATGCTGGGAGAATCGGCCTGACCATCATCATTGCAGGGATGTTTGGTGCCATGATTGCAGGACTATGGCTGGACAGGTCTAAAACCTACAAGTAAGTGCCGGCCTCTCCCTCCCAAACTGGTGAGTGGGGACCCTGGATGCAAAGTCATTGCAGCACAGCTCTGAGGGCTGAGGCGCAGCGTCTCGGGGTGGGTAGGTCCAGTGTGCAATCATCTGGTTTTGTCTGGGCCTCATTTACAAAAGGCAGGCTTGTCCTCTGAGGGTCTTAGGAAGGTCAGAGAGGAGACCTGGACATGGGACCCAGAGCTGGGCTCTTCCCCTGCCCCTCTTCTTCCCTAAGGGTTTTGGGGGAGCTGAGGAGGGAGAAAGGAACAGGAATGTGGCAAGCTGCCATGGGAGATGTGCATGGGGCAGTCTGTGAAAACCCCAGAGCAGAGACGAGGAGGTGATCCCTTGCCTGTTCCTGAGGATTCACCAGGACCCTCTCTCCTTATTCCCTCTATGTTTGGCTGGAGTGATAGATAGCACAGCGGGTAGGGCGTTTGCCTTGCACGCGGCCAACCCGGGTTCGATTTCTCCACCCCTCTCGGAGAGCCGGCAAGCTACTGAGAATATCTGGCCACACGGCAAAGCATGGCAAGCTACTCGTGACGTATTCGATATGCCAAACACAGTAACAACAAATCTCACAATGGAGACGTTACTTGGGCCCGCTTGAGCAAATCGATGAACAATGGGAGGACAGTGATAGTGACAATGATGTTTGAGTGTACAGTCACCTCACTGCTTAGACTGAGGGTCCCATACCTACTTAGTCTACCTCCACCCACTTCCAGGAGGAAAATCACTCAGTGCCCCCCTGAAATTTTATCTCCTGGAAGTAAACAAATAAGAAGTCGCCTCAAACACAACTTATTCTACCCTTAGAGACACTATTCCCTCCCTCTTGGGTCTAGCAACAACCCCGCCCATGGACCCACCCATTGTCCATGTTGGGAACCATTATCTAAGACCTTGTTAGTAATTATTTTACACTTTTTAAAAAAAATCATAGGTATTTAATTAATTAATTGATTGATTTTATTGGCTTTTGGGGTCACACCTGGAGATGCTCATGGGTTACAGGAATTACTCCTGGTGGTGCTCAGGGGACTGCATACTGAGCAGGTGCTGGGTTGCAGGGCCACATTCAGGGCTACTCTCTCCAGGCCTCTGAGGGTCTGAGGTCAGCAGGCAGTAGAGAGAGACTGGCTCTCCCTGGCCACACAGCAGGCCTCTGTGAGCTCTGGCCAGAACAGGACATGCTCTGGCTGCAGAGTTAAGCCCCGGGCCAGTTGAGGTCACCCCTGGGTGGTGGTGGCCTGGCCAGGCTGGATGAGCAGTTGGGCTCAGCTTTGTTCCTGCTGGCAGACCCCGGCCGCTCCGCCTTATCTCTGTCACTGTCTGTTGCTTGCTTTGGCCAGAGGGCAGAGGCCAGGCGGACAGGCCCCCCCCAGTCCAAGAACAGTGGTGTCCCTTTCTCCTAGGCTTGCTCTGCAGTGGGAGGAATGAGGGATCGGAATGTTGGCTGGAGTAGGGCGTGGGCAGTGGATGACTCAGACCAACTGGAGATCATAGTGCAAGGCGGGGAGTAAGCTTCCCGAACCTTCTTCACCAGGAACCCTCGCTCCTGAGTGTACCTGTGGACCTCAGTACAGCAGCCGCACAAAAGCTTCAGCTCCCAGCCCAAAAGGACTGGCTGTAGGAAATAGCTTATGCTGTGTCCTCTGTTCCCTGAGGTGTTTGTTTGTTTGTTTGTTTCTTGGGTTTTTTTTGGGGGGGAGTGGTGGAAACCCAGCAGTGCTCAGAGGTTACTCCTGGCTCTGCACTCAGGGATCACTCTTTTTTTGTTTTTTGTTTTTGTTTTTGAGTCACAACTGGTAACGCTCAGGGGTTACTCCTGGGTCTGCACTCAGGAATTACTCCTGGTAGTGCTCAGGGGACTGACTATTTGGGATACCGGGGATCAAACCCAGGTCAGCAGCATGCAAGGCAGACGTCCTACCCGCTGTATTATTGCTCTGGCCCCTCAGGGCTCACTCTTGACAGGCTCAGGGGATCCTATGGGATGTCGAGATCTAGCCTGGGTCAGCTGCATCCAGGGCAAGAGCCCCGCCTGCTGTACTATCGCTCCGGCCCTGGTGCCCTCATTTTCCCAGCTCAGTATGGAGGCTGGGAATTGGGTGTCTTCACCTTTGGCTGGGATTACATACACTTTTCTTTGGGGAGAGGGGACACACCCAGCTGTGTTCAAGGGCTACCCCCTGCGGTGGCTTTGATGCTTGGGGGACCACCATGTGGTGCTGGGGAGCAAACCCGAGGTTTGCCCATGTGTAAAGCCTGTCTCCAGTCTACTGGGTATCTCTCTTGCCCTACTGATATTTTTTGGTTTTCTTTTGAGTGTTTGTTTTGGGGCCACACCTGGCAGTACTCAGGGGCTCCTCCTAGCACATGGCTGGGGGTTGCTCCTGGTGGAACTCAGTGCTGAAGATTGAACTGGGGTCTCCCTCGTGTAGTTTATGTGTACTTGGCCTTTGAGTTCTCTCCCCTGCCCTCCTGCAGTTACTTTTCTAGATCATGTCAGTTCAGTGCCATACGATAAAGCTTTGCTTAAACAAATGTGGCCAAAAAAAAAAAGTTTTGCAGCTGATGAGCTTGTGGGGTGAGCAAGCGACGGTGGCTGTCGGTGAAGTTGCTTTTGGCGTGGGATCGGAAGGAGCGGACTGGGGGTGGGAGGGAGGAAGTGCCTTTACCCTCAGCAGCTGCTTTGAAGTGTGACTGGGAAGGGCGTCCTCTGGGGACCCTGACCTTGAGCTCGTCCAAAAAGTCCACTGCAGAGTGTCCTGTCATTCTTGTGTGCCTCCGGGGGCGGTGTTGGATGAAAAACATGATTGAGTTTAGTTTTCTCATTTGTAAAATCAGGCACTCATTCATTTCTTATAAACTCTTTCTCTTCCTCCTTTCTCTTCTTCCTTCCTTCCTTCCTTCCTCTATTTTCTTCCTTCCTTCCTTCCTTCCTTCCTTTCTTTCTTTCTTTCTTTTTTCTTTCTTTCTTTTTTCCCTCCCTCCTTCCTTCCTTCCTTCCTTCCTTCCTTCCTTCCTTTTATCTCCCTTCCTTCCTTTCTTTTTATTGAAAGTTACTTAAAAAAGATTTGAGGGCAAGAAATGTGGGGACCATATGGCACAAGGGGGAATTGAACCCATGTCGGCAGCAGGCAAGCAACCTACCTGCTGCCTATCTCTCTGGCCGGCCTGCCTGCTTGCTTGCTTTTTTTCTTTTTTCTTTCTTTTCTTTCCTTCCTTCCTTCCTTCCTTCCTTCCTTCCTTCCTTCCTTCCTTCCTTCCTTCCCAGAGCTTAGGGGACCTGGGGGTCACTCCTGGAGATCACTTGGCCACCCAGGCCAGGTTGTCCAATGCTCAGGTCTCCTGATATGATGTTGGTTAGAACCAACAGTTCTGGGTGCTTTCGGGGCCACATCTACTAACAGAGCACCAGGACTACTCTCAGGGTACTCTTAGGGCTAGCAGGGGTGGGTATGGCACCAGGAAATAGATTCAGGTCCCCTGTGCATGCTAGCCATTTGTCTCAGACCCCAAGTTATCTCCCTAACCCATTTCTAGGACTTTTGTAAAGACTGAGTGCAATAACAAGTGCATGGAAACATCATAACAGAATTCTGGAAACCAGTAAATGTACCTCTTAATTTGACTCTGCTTGTGCTCCCTCTGTGTTCTTTGGAACCTAGGGAGACTTGTGAAGGCATTTAAATAAAACCGAGTCCTTTGTGGAGGAAGGCTGAGGGCTGCTAAAGCAGGAAGAGAAAAGTGGGCATGGTGGGACACCAGCAGGGGGCGCCCCCAAGGGACCACCTAAGCTTGCTGATGGTCCTTAGATGGCAGTGGGAAATGGGTTGACTGTTTCTCACTCTGGTTTGGGACTCAGGGCCTTGGCTCAGGGCTAGGAAGATCTCTTCTCTTTTTTTTTAAATTTATTTTGCTTTTTGGTCACACCCGGCAATGCTCAGGGGTTACTCCTGGCTCATGCACTCAGGAATTACTCCTGGCGGTGCTGGGGATGCTGGGAATTGAACCCTGGTCGGCTATGTTGGCTGCGTGCAAGGCAAACGCCCTACCCACTGTGCTATTGCTCCAGCCCCGGAAGATCTCTTCTCTTGATTCCTGCTCCCTGGAGAAGATTCAGCAGGTGCAGCTGCTTCATACCTCTGCAAGTGGCTGTAGGGTAGGGGAGGTGGCAATCAGAGCAAATCCCCTTGCGGTGCCCAGTGTGCTTTGTTCTGGAATCTTGGGCAAAGCGGAGATGTGGAAACGGGTGACTTCTGGGGGAGTTGCCGTCCCCTGGAAGCGGATGCTTCTTCTGTTTAGGGGGGCGGTAGTGTGGGGAGTGGAGGGCTGCTCCCACCCTTCTTGCTTCAGGGGAGAAAGCGGCCAGTGAAAATCTGAGACGGTTCTTTGCAGGTTCTGCTCCAACCCCCATGCCGCGAGGCCGGGTGCTCCTCTCCAGGTCTTCCCTACGGCGCAGCTATCTGTGAAGCGCTGCCTCTGTCTCACAGGCTTTGTGGCCAGAAAGCCTCATGAGACCAGAGTCCCGGCACACGGGGTGTGAGGGAGGGGGGGAATGATGCGCAGCAGGGGGCCCCCACAAGGCTGTGGGGTGAGTGAGGGGGACCCAGAGCCCTATCCCAGGCTTACACTCTGCGCCTGTCCCTGTGCTGTAGGGAGACCACCCTGGCGGTGTATATCATGTCTGTGGTGGGCATGGTGGTGTACACGCTGACCCTGGACCTGAAACACCTGTGGCTGGTGTTCGTCACTGCTGGCGCCCTGGGGTAAGTCTCATCTCCTTTTGTGTCATCGCTTCCAGGATCGACTGACTTGTGGGAAGCAGCATCCACCCCTTGGTTGCCTCCTCCCTGAGGATGGGTGGGGACGGGGCAGCCAGGCCAGGCTGAGGGCTTGTTGCCTGTGTGCTTTCGAAGCCAAACCCATCTTTGTGGCGGGGACGAGTGTGTCCTTTCGGCTCTGGGAGCCTTGCCAGTGTTTCCAGTCCCTTTTAGCTCTGCCTGGGATGACGTGCGCTCTCCAGGAGTCCCTGGGATTGGGAAGGAGAAGTTTGGGTCCTGGTGTTATTTCAGGTGCTGGCTGTCTAAGGAAGCCCAGACCAACACTTACCTGCCCTGAGCCTCAGTTTCCTCATCTATAGGGAAGGTCAGAAGTGGCCTGCCTGAAGGACTGAGAGAGAAAAAACAAAATGTGTGAGGAAGGAGAGAGATGTGAGAACAGTCAGCAGCCTGGTGCGATAGAGGAACTAGAAATGGGATTTTCTATGAGCAAGTGTGGGAAGCAGAGGTTTCTGCTCAGCCCGCTGGCCCGTCGTTTTCCTGTAGTGTGTGTGTGTGTGTGAGAGAGAGAGAGAGAGAGAGAGAGAGAGAGAGAGAGAGAGAGAGAGAGAGAGAGAAGGAGGGGAGAGAAAGAGAAAGGGAGGAAAGAGATGGAGAGAGAAAGGGGGGAGAGAAAGAGAGGGAGAGGGAGAGAGAAAGAGAGAGGGAAAGAGAAAGGGAGAAAGAGAAGGAGGGGGGAAGAGCGAGTGAGAGAGAGAATCCTCCTCAGCTGGTGTCCCAGCTACTCTCTGGAGGCTGCTAAAGGGCTCTGAGCTCCTCCCTCAGTTCCCGGAGAGCATGAGAAGCTGCAGCCCAGTCCCAGCAGATCGCCTGGAGCCTAGGACACTGTGTCTGAGACCTGGGCCTTCCAGGCACTCCCACACTGTCTGAACGACCTTGTCCATAATGCACGTCGCGTGGGAAACACAGGACACAACCCACGCAGGGCCCCTGAGCACGCAGCCTGCCGCCGAGGGGCCGCCCGGCCCACAGGGCCTCTCCCTCCCCGGTATGGCTCCCGAGAGAAGTTGCTTCCTTGTCTGCCTTTTCTGCGGTGCTGGGGATCAAACCCAGAGCTTTGCACATGTGAAGCAACAACTCTCCCGCTGTGCCACTTCCCTGGTCGCCTCACACTGTTTTTCTGCCTGAGACCTGCCCTCCCCTGCCAGCGAATGGGTTTGAAATAGGAGCGGCCCAGGGGATAAAGGAAACAAGACAGACATAAGAGAGAAAAGCACAGAGTCAGGATGCTCACGGGCTCCATCACGTGCCTCCTTTATTGTCGTAAGCCAACAATCACTGGAAGTAGGAGAGCAAACTTTTATTTATTTTTTATTTTTATTTATTTTTTTGCTTTTTGGGTCACACCTGGTGGTGCACAGGGGTTACTCCTGGCTCTGCATTCAGGAAGTACTCTTGACGGTGCTCGATGACCATATGGGATGCTGGGAATTGAACCCTACCCACTGTGCTATCACTCCAGCCCCAGAGAGCAAACTTTTAGAGACACTTGCCAATCTAACCAGGAGCTTTACCGTATCAAAGGGGACGAATGGCTGTCAGTGCACAAGTCTCTAAAGTGCATTTAGTCTCAAAAGACTCTTCACCAGGAGAGGTAGCAGAGGTAAGAGTGATTTCAGGACCCCTGTCAAAGGGGCTTTCATCCTGTGCTGCTGGCCTTCCCGGAGATGACCATCCTAAAAAACACATATACAGCCCCTCTCCTAAGTTTTTTAAACTAAATGTGATGGTATGTATTTGCAAGTCTATGCCTGTTTGAAGTTTTCAACTTCCAGTCTGTGAGCCTATGTACAAGGGTTGAAGAGCAGTGCTTTGGAGAATGGCCTGATGGGCCAGGCAAGGCTCGAAGGGAAGAAACGGAACAGGAAAAGGAATTCTAAGGGGAGCAGGGGGCACCCTCCAGCTTCCCCCACCTTTTGCTCTTGGACTCCCCTGTCACCTTGATCTCTGTGCTCTGGCCCTCAGCTTCTTCATGACGGGCTACCTCCCACTGGGGTTTGAGTTTGCCGTGGAGTTGACCTACCCTGAGTCTGAAGGCATCTCCTCTGGCCTCCTCAACGTGTCTGCCCAGGTAAGGCCTGATTTGGGGGCAGCCCCAGTGCCTTGGTTCTTTGCTTCCTGTTTGCTGGTGGCAGCTCTGTGGGGTAGGGTGGGGCTTCCCAGGTGGGCCCTGGGGTCCATTCTTTGTGCCTTTTCAGGTATTCGGGATCATTTTCACCATCTCCCAGGGCCAAATCATCGACCACTACGGGACCATGTCTGGGAACATCTTCCTGTGTGTGTTCCTCACACTTGGAGCTTTCCTCACTGGTGAGTCATGTCCCGAAATCAAGGTGGGAGGTGTGGGTGACTCCTGACTTTTAAGCCTGGCAGTTTGGGAGCCTGGGGCCTAGACTGATCCTACAGATTAGGGGTACGGGTAACTTCAAGGTGGAAAGAAGGGATTGTGAGAATGTTTTCAAGACAGGAGCGGGTTTTGATGGTTTCAGCATGAACTTTGGAGTCCGTAGGCTGTTGAAATCCCCGGCTGGCACTCTGACCTGGGCGTCTTGGAGCTCGGGCATGGCCCGGGCTGTTTCCTAACCTGTTGTGAGGCCTGTTGTGAAGAGCGGAGGTGGGCATACACGTGTGGCCCCTAAATGAAAGTAAGTGTTGTTGGCTTCAACCACTCAGGCCCTGCTATCACCTCAGGAAGGCCCGAGGCTGATGGTGCCGTAGCTTCTGGAGCAGGTGGTCTGGGGTACCTGTGACCCATAGGAAAACCAGAGCCCCCTCCCCTGTAGGAAGTTGACCCTCTCAATAACCCTTTTCCTTCCTCCTCAGTCTTCATTAGGGCAGATCTCCGGAGGCAGAAAGCGAACAAAGAAACTCCTGAGAGTGTGAGTAGCTGGGACCATGGCTGGGCTGAGTTGGGTGGTCCTGGGCTGGGTGGGTGCTTCTGGAGAGGACTGGCTTCCTGTGCTGGAGAGAGCAGTTCTGTCATCACAAATGTGGTCTCCCGTAGTGCTTTGGCAAAATGGTATCACAAAAATGGTATCCAGTAGACTTGGCACATATGGGTATGACTGGATAACTTAGAAGCAAGATTGTGATAAATGTTCTGGGCACCACATCTGTACATGTCATTTTTTCCTGCTTTTTTGCTACTTGTTCTTGTTTGTTTGTTTTGGGGCCACCCACCTGTGCTTAGGGCTTACTCTTGGCTCTGGGCTCAGGAATTGCTTCTGACTGTGCTCAGGGAACCATATGGGATGCTAGGGCTCGAACCTGGGTCCACCACATGCAAGCAAGTGCCTTATCCTTTGCATTATCTCCCCAGTGTTGAGATACTGTTATTTTTGCACTCGCTTGCAGATGTCGTATCTACATAAGTGTGTGCATGTGTGTCTGAAGATGTTCTTATTTTTTAAAACATGGAATTCTGTCCATTTTGTTGGAAACACTTTATCAGACCCTTATTCCATGACAAATTTTCAATGACAGCTGTGTTCTGTGGGTGAACTGTGATTTGTGTGATGGTGGTTTTCTTGTTTCTGCACACCCAAATGGTTTCCAGTCACTGTTAGAAGCAATATTGTATAAATGTTCTGGGCATGTAATTTCTTTCTCTGCTTTTTCACTGGCACTGCTTGATTAACTATATTGCAGAATATGAGAGATTGAGTTTTCTACATCTATGTGTGTGTTCAGAGGCGCAGCATTTTTTGTTTGTTTATTTGTTTTTGGGTTACATCTAGCGATGTTCAGGGCTTACTCCTGCCTCTGTGTTCAGGGATCACTCCTGGTAGGCTCAGGAGACCTTATGGGATACTGGGGATCAAACCCAGGTTGGCTGATTGTGAGGCAAGTGCCGTATCTGCTATACTATTTCTCCAGGTCTGGAAGCTCAGCATTTTCTAGAGGGAAGCACTGTGGTCACTCCCCTTTTCCAGACTCTCACCCCCTAGAACCATCCTATCCTCACTGCCAAAGTCTTCTGCCATTGAAGCCCAGGAGTGCCAGGAGTGTTTTGTCATTTTGAAAAAATTTTTGTCAGTTTTCTGAGACAAAATAAAAAAGGTATCCCAGTAGACTTGGCACATATGGGTATAGTTGGATAATGGGGAATGACCTTCGCTTTACTGTTTGTCTTTGGTCTCACTCTGTGTCACAGACAGATAGGGACTGTGTGTAGGAGTGTCTGGAAGTGGGAGTACCCTGGGGAGAGGAAAGCCTGGGAATGGAATGTAGCCCCAGGTCTCTGCCACAGTGCAGATGGGCCATATCCCGGCCACGAAGAGGGAACCTGCTCTTAGGGATGCAGGTTTCAAGCCAGGCTCTGATGTGAGATTCTACTTTTATTCTTTTGTTGTTGTTGTTGGGTGTGTGGGGGGGGGGGCGCACACCTGGGGTGTCAGGGCTTCCTCCTGGCTCTGCACTGAGGGATCACTCCTGGCAGGGCTCAGAGGACCCTAGGGAATGTCGGGGATCGAACCAGGGTCAGCTGCATACAAAGCCTGAACTGTCCTGTCCCTCCGGCCCCCAATGCTATTGTATTTACAGGCTGACTGACTGAGGCCAACAGCTCAGGGTCATCTATAGTTTCCAACCTGGGACCCTGGCATGATGCTGGCCCAGTGACAGTTGGGCCACTTCCCCAGGTGGTTTTCTGTAGGTTTCCCCAGTTCCCTTTGGTTTTCTATCTGTTGCTGACTTCACAGGGCCTGACAGCTTCCCACACCCTGCTGTCCTCCCATGTTCTGTCCATCCCTGCCTGGGCAGTGTTTAGATACTTCCCACAGGTGCTGTCCTTGCAGCCGGCTCCGGGTGCATCGAGGTTGGTGCTGTCCCTCCGCCACATCTGTAGGGAGTGATTGTTCTCAGCCCTTTGTCTTTGTGTCATGGGATAACTCACTCCGCGTTACAGGCCCTCACCTGCATCACCAGCATGGTGATAGGGAGGACAGTCCTGCCTGCTGAGCCCAGGATGCAGGTGTGTGTGTAGGGAGGATCAGTCATAATATCCCTCTGAGTGGCTCATGGTGGTCACTGTGATGAGACAAATTCAGCGTCAGAGCAAGGGTACCACATGCGTGGAACAAATCTGACCAAGTGGCACTGATGGTGTAGGGCGATGCTTAGCTCTGATAGAAACAGGGTCGGAGCCATGGTACAGCAGCTGGGGCACTCGCCTTGTATGCAGTGGCCCCCGGTTTGATCCCCGGCATCCCATATGGTCCCCTGAGGTTGCCAGGAGTGATCCCTGAGCTCAGAGCCAGGAGTCAGCCCTGAGCATCACTGGTGTGGCCCCCAAACAAAAACAGAACAGAGAGAATCCAGGTGAGGGGGTGGGCGTCACCCACCCCAATGTGTACATCTGTGGGGTCCTGTTTCCTTCTGGAGAGCAGCTTGAGCTCAGGACTGTGGCCAGGCTCTGCCCGGGAACCCACGTTTCTGACTGTGATTTTTGTGGAGGCAGGCGTGTGTGGGTTGGGGACAGGACAACCCCTGTTGACTGGCCACTCCTGGCCTGAATGAAGTCTTCTTGTGGCTGGGGCTAGCCAGGCCCAATGCCAGCAGGCTCGAGGTCAAGAAGGCCGACGTGGCATCTGCCATTGCCATGCGTGCCAGGGCCCTGCTCATCCCTGAGATGCCACGTTCACCTCAGCCCTTGGGTGCGGCTGGTAGTGTCTGCCGCCCCCTGGGCTCCCTGGGGTGATTTTCTTTTCTTTTTTTCTTTCTTTTTTAATTGAATCATCATGAGATACAGTTACAAAGCTTTCATGTTTAAGTTTCAATCATACAATGATCGAACATCCCTCCCTCTATCAGGGCACATTCTCCATCACCAGTGTCCCCAGTATCCCTCCCCCATCCCATCCCCCTGCCTCCGTGGCAGATACTTTCTCTCTATTTTTGGGCATTATGGTTTGCAATACAGATACTGAGAGGTTATCACGTTTGGTCCTTTATCTACTTTCAGCACACATCTCCCATCCTGAGCGATTCCTCCAACCATTGTCTTAGTGATCCCTTCTCTATTCCAGCAGCCTTCTTCCCCAGCTCATGACACAGGCTTCCAACTATGGCAGTATTTCTGGCCCTTCTGTCTACTGTTCTTGGGTGTCAGTCCTGGGGTGATTTTCAGTCTGTGCTCATGCCAAACCCATCTAACAAGCAGGACCCAGAAAGCTGTGCCTGTCCACCGCCCATCCCTCTGGAAGCCAGTCAGAATCACCTCAAATCCAGTTTCTCTGTTCGTAGTGTGGACATGTCACTGAGTTTATGAATGCAATCATGTGTCCTGCCTTTATAAAAATGATCTCTGTTGGGGCCAGCCCAGAGTACAGTGTGTGTGTGGGGGGAGGCATATGCCTTGCATGCCTGGTTCAATCCCCAACACCCTATGTGGTGCCCCGAGCTCCACCAGGAGTGACCCTTGAGCATAAGATCTACACTGAGTCATGAGTAAGTCCTGGACTGAGCCTTGAGCATTGCCGAGTGTGGCCTTCAGAAACACCAACAAGAGCATCTTTGTTGCCTCTGTGTGTGATTTTACCATTGTCGCTTCCACCCACACTCTGACACTATCATTTGGAAAGGTAGTCCTCATTCTCCATGGCCACGTGGGCCTATGGGGAATGTGGAGGCAGCAGTCAGCCACTGTGCTGCATCTTGAAGGTCAGCATGTGCTGGGGGTGGGTGGCCTTTGCGTCTTCCAGTCCCAGAGCCAAGAACAGTGGCGCTCCCTGGCACAGATGTGGTACCTTGCAGCATCGTGGGGGAGTGGTTCGGTTTGGTCTTTGCTGGTGTTGTGAGGTGTGTGTCGTTGTGTGTGTGTTTAGGGAGCAGTTGTGCCTTTTCTTGTTTCTGTTGCCCTAGGAGTGCCCCGTGGCCTCTGGCTCTTGTTTTCTCAATAGACAGGGCCAATTCCTGCCCCTCAGCACTTAAGGACTTCCTTCCTTCCTTCCTTCCTTCCTTCCTTCCTTCCTTCCTTCCTTCCTTCCTTCCTTCCTTCCTTCCCTCCCTCCCTCCCTCCTCCCTCCCTCCCTCCTTCCCTCCCTCCGTCCCTCCCCCTTCCCTCCCTTCTCCCCTCTCTTCCCTCCTTTGCTTCTTCCCTCCCTCTTTCCCTCCCTTCCTTCTTCACTTCCTCCCTCCCTCCCTTCCTCCCTCCCTCCCCTTTCTTCCCTTCTTCTCTTCTTCCCTCCCTCTTTCCCTCCCTCCTTCCCTCCCTCCCTCCCTTCTCCCCTCCCTTCCCTCCCTCCCTCCCTTCCTCCCTTCTCCCCTCCCTTCCCTCCCTCCCTCCCTTCCTTCCTCCCTCCCTCCCTCCCTCCCTCCCTCCCTCCCTTCCTTCCTTTGCTACACTCGGCAGCACTCAGGGTCTCTTCCTGGCTCTGTGCTCAGCAGTGGCCCCTGGCGGTGTTCAGGGGACCCAGTGTGGTTCCAGGGACTCAACTGGGGTTAGCCACGTGCAAGACAAGTGCCTCCCCCCTGTCCATCTCTTGTGTCTCACGCCTTGCTTGCTTTGCCTTGTAGAAACTCCAGGAGGGTGAGGAGGAGGTGCCGGTGGTGGTGGAGGAGATGAGCATCGACAAAGCGCCCATCGCTGGTTCTGAGGAGCACTTCTGAGGGACGCCGGTGGCTGCAACTCAGGCACACAGAGAACAGCCGCCCCTCCGATCAGGGCCCCCTCGCTGCCCGTGCTGGAATATTTGTGGCCTGCAGGGTGGTGTCTCTGCCTCCTGGAATCCCCTGGAGGGCTGCCGGGGGCCTCTCGGTGGAGAATGGCACCTTTCACCAAATGCGGATGTCCTGCCCTCCTCCAGGGCTGCAGGGGGTCTGGGCTTGAGCAGGGGGTGTGGAGGCCTCTTGCACCTGTCCCTCATGGAGAAAGCCTGCCAGAGTATCATGAAAAGAGAGTTTATTATGGAGATGAACTTTTCTAGTGTCTTCATGCCCTCAGGAGGGCCGAGTCTCTGGTTGAGTCTCTGGGCGAGGGTCATTGTTGGGTCTCCCACCTCTCCTCTGAGCTGAAGTTCTGTGGGAAAGACCCTTGCCCCATCCCCCACCCTGCCCCCTCAGCACCAACCCTTTTGGGCTCTGGGCCTCAATTCTCCTGACCTTCTTTAGGGGTCTGTCTCCAAACCCGCAAACGTCAATAAACTGGACAAACACTCTTGTGGCCATCCTGAGGGAGAAATGGGCTTGGGAGTGTGGACCGCCTGGGGCGCTGCCCTCAGATGGGTTGGGTTGGGGGTTCCTCTGCTTCTTTCTCGCGTGAGTCCCTGCCCAGGCCTCCTGCACCACCTCCCTCCGACTCTACCTCACACTGCTCTGAGGACTCAGTGGCCGGCCCACGTGCCCACATCGCCGGGAGAGAGGCCAGTGCAGCCCACTCCTGGCCACCTCTACTCACGGCTCTCCTACAATCACTCCAAGGCTGCTTTGAGAGAAGGTGGCCCAAAGGGGATGGGAACGAAGGTCACTTGGCAGGTGTGTACCCCACCTCTCGGGAGGGGACACCCCCTTCAATCAGTGGGAGCCAACTACATCTCACTTCCTGTCTGGTGTTCCTTATAAGACATCTGGGTCCTTTCTCCTGGACGCTGACTGGCATTCTGATCATGGCCTCCATGCCGGGGTATCATCCCCCAGGCCCATCCCCAGCTCATACTTCTAGGTTGGGGGTGGGGCGGGGCGTGTGGGTGGAAGAGGTGGAAAGCGCACCCCACTCTGGGTCATGGTGAAAGGTGTTTGCTCTTCAGCCCCTTCAATTGTATTAACAGAAGGTTTACCAAATCCCTCGTTTTAAGAAACACGATTTGTATTTTCTATTGGTCATAGATGTCTTAGGGCAATAAAAGATTGTCCGCAGCGCTCGGCCTGTTCCCTGGTGGGGCGGGAATGCCTACCACATGCTAGGATGCGTCCAGCTCTGAGAACTGAGATGACCGTCACGGGGAGAAGGCGGGGCAGCAAAGGCCCATGCCTGTCCAGAGGGGGGATTCTTCGGTTTACACATTTCTAGGGCCCCGTTTTCTTTCTTTTACTTTTCAAATGGAATCACTCTGAGATAGACCCTCACAAAGCTGTTTTGATTAGGTTTCAGTCCTACAGCGTTCCAACACCCATCCCTCCACCAGTGTCCATTTCCCACCACCACTGTCCCCAGGTTTCCTCCTGCGACCACCCAGCCTGCCTCTATGGCAGGAGCTTTTCTTCTCCCTCTCTCTGTGCCCCTCTCTCCTTTTGGGCATTGTGGTTTGCAATCTTGATACTTAATAAAGGTTATTAAGAATATCCCTTTACCTCCTTTTACCCCTCAGATCTTGTCCAGCGTGATCATATTCCCAGCTCTGGTTGTCGTCCTGGTCCCTTCTCTATCTTACCTACCCTCCCCCATCACACACTCGTGTTTGATTCCAACCACTGACCATCCTCCTAGCCTTCTGGGGCCCATTTTCTAATGGTGAATCCACCGCGTGTGTTTTCCCTGGCGTTGGCTGTGTTCTGCACGGTGTCTGCTGGGAAACAGCTCATGGGGTGGCCTGCTCTGCTTTCCAGCTCTGCCTCAGAGGTGGTCGGAATGCAGGTGCTGCCACGCCCCAGACATACCGCAGCTTGCCGGTCACTTCCTCTGTCCCGTCCCGACGGGCGTGCCCACCCGGACTGGGGTTTTCATCTGCATAGAGGTTCACTGTCTGTGGGTTATGTACCCTCAGGTTTAGTGAGCCTCATGGTTGAGTCTGCAGGTGACAGACCTCTCCGATACAGAGGGCTTCGTGCCTGGGACACGCACCTGTTATTAGGGGTCGGGGTTAGGGAATGGGTTTGTTTGTTCTCTTCACTCTGGTGTATGTGACTTTACAAAAAGCACTCAGCGGTTGTGGACAGGGGCATTCTGGCCTCCGGGAGGTCAGAGTACAAGGAGGAATGAAAGGGAAGGGATTTTCTGTTTATTACAAAATTTGTTACACAAATACTGTTGACCAGCAGGTCTAAAAACGGCTCAGGCTCCCCGCCCTTCCCCTTGCTGTCCAGGTATGAGCCCGCAAGCCTGGGAGGCCCTTCTTAGAAGAGCTACCCATCTACTGGGCAGTTCAGAGTGGGGTCCAGCACTAGAGAGGCGCCCATGGTGGTGGACAGGCCCTGAGGGGCAGTGGCAATGGCTGTGAGTCACAGTTCATGGTTTCCACGGCGCATGTCACGTCAAGGGTACAAACAACTGGGAAGGGAGAGGTGGGGGGAACAGGAAGGGGGTCTGAGAAGGCAGGGGTGGGGGAGTCTGGGAAGGCAGGGTGGGGGGCTGGAAAGGCGGGGGTAGCAAGGGCTGGGAAGAGGGTGTTAGAGATGAGAGAGCAGCACAGGATGGCTGGCGATTCCTTGATCTGGGTGCAAGGGGCTTTTAAATCATGTCTTTACATAGTACACATCCTATTCTTGCCTGAAGGCCTTTGTAGATCCTCAGCAGCTTGTCCATGTCTTTTTTTTTCCTTTGTTACAAAAAGGAACTGGAACATAAAAGTTTAGAGGTCGCTATGGGGGCTGCTGAAAGGGCAGGAAAAAGCACTGGAAGAGCCGAGTGGGGGGAAGAGTGGAAGGCGCAGTCTGAGGCGTGGAGCTGGGCTTCAGGTCCTCTTCTTCTGTCTGGATGCTGGTTCTGCCTCCAGGTAGCGGAACCCCGCCAGCATGCCCAGGACTGAGAAACCTTCAACACAGAGGAGAGATCAGAGGCTGGCCTCCTCCCAGCCCTTCCTCCAGTGCCCACGATGAGCGGCCCCGGGGTCTGTGCCAGGGGTGGGCATGCCATGCTTACTTGCCACCATCAGGGGTGCCAGGACGCCGATCGTGGGGGCTGCAGTCCCATATATGAACAGCTCGGAGAGGAAGTGGCCCAGTGCGAGGAGGAAGGTCCAGAGAGTGATGTGGTAGAGCCTACGGTGGGGGCAGACAGAAACGGGGACTGAGGGCTGAGTCTACCCGGGCCAGGACCCGGAAGTGAGTAGGAGAACTGGGCTGGAGAGAGAGAGCAGGGGTTACGGGTCTGGGATGCAGCTGACCCGGAGTCAATCCCTGGCACCACGTCGGCCCTCGAGGCCTCAAGGCACCCCCTGCCTGGGTGGTCTGGGTGATTCCCAACACTGCAGAGCCCCAGCAGCACCACATTCTTGGGGCACAGCACCAACCACCTGCCTGGCTGGCACATAGTTGCTGGGATACCCCGACCCAATCAGAAGAAAAAGACAGATATTTGGTCACATAGGCATGTTCCTTTGTTGCTGTTGATTTATTCTGGTTTTGGACTGTCTGTACCCAGTGGTGCTCAGGGGTTACCCCGGGGAGTGCTTGGGGGGAACCACATGGGGTGGCAGGGACTGAACCCGGGTGGGCCAAGTACAAGGCACGTGTCCCAGGGAATAATGTGGGTTCTGGCAGTTGAACCTGGGGTGCCTGCTTGCAAAGCACAAATTCCAGCCCTTAGAGCTATCTCACTAGCTCTAGGACACTTAAAAAAATTATGAGACCTATCAATAGAGACAAAACCATACGTAGTATCATATTTGACATTTTCATTTCTGGGGCTCGTCTCTGAGAAGTGTGATGAGATGCTGAGAGCATCCACGTATCCTTATTCTCCCTTGCTCCCATTCTCCTCCCTTCCTCTCCCCAGAAGCAATCATCATTTTAAATGCATTTAAAAAAAAAAACCCGATTCGTGTGTGTGTGTGTGTGTGTGTGTGTGTGGTTGTGTGAGCACTCAGTACATGTCTGTGTATGGGGAATGGATTTTGAGTTTCCAGCTAGGGGAACTGGAATCAGTGTACACATTTGGGGCTTGTGGACCAAACCCTCATGCTAAAACGAGGGAGCATTGGTGGCGGTCCTGTGTGGGGAAGAGAAAATCACAGGTGTTAAGGCCAAGGTAAGCCTGGCTCACTCCAGATCCAGCAGACAAGACAATCCTTTACGTCCATCAGCAGGAGGCCCAAAGAGGGCTATGTAACCCTCGCTCCCTTCAAGCCATGCTTTGGGTTGTATTTCTTTTTTGTTTTGGAGCGACAACTGGCAGTGCTCAGGGATCACTCCTGGCTCTGTCCTCAGGGATCACTCCTGGCCAACCAGGGTTTGGGCAACCGTAGGGGGTGGGAGGAACCTTGTGAGGCCAGCGCCCTACCTCAGTCCTATCTTGGTGGCACTGAGATGGGAGGAGATGGGTAGGCATGTAATAAACTGGCTGCCACGAGGCCAGTGACCCAAGGAACTGAGACCAGTGCCCATTTTCTTGTTTTCGTTCCTGGCCCCAGGCCGTCTCCACCAAACCACAATGCTTCCAAAAATACTGGTCAGTTTAGAACAAGTGAACTTCAGTTTCGAGTTAAACTCAACAGCAGAAAAAAAAAAAACGACCCCAAAACCCCTAAAATTAAAAAAAAAAAGTTGGCCAGAGCACAGGGCTAAGAACCTTGCTTTACCTCCCGCTGGAGTCAGTCTTCCTCTGTTTTACTTAATTAGGTCTCTAACATGGCAATTTGCACAGCCCAGCAGGAAAAACACTGCCCAGGGCGGCAAGATTCAACCCAGCTCACATCAATGAAAGCTCTGTGATAGCAAGAGGGGCCTAGTAAGCAGTACTGTTCCCTAGGCACTATGCGCCGGGGGTGGGGGGGCTGTGGGGCGGCAGACTTTGGAAACTTACTTTAGGGTGGAGTTGGCATTGGGGTGGCTTCACCTAAGACAGAGCAAAAAGGTGTTGATGACTGCTGCTGGGAAGGAGGCTCTAGCCCCACCCAGTGGCCAGAGCTAGCTACAGCATGATGCCCGCAAGAGCTGGGATGGCCTGCAATGGGCATGCCAGTCTCCGGGTACCCAGAGAGCTATAGAGTCCTGGGTTCTCTTCTGCCCTTACCTACTGCCTGCACTAGTAAGGACCAGTCATCCTGGACCAAACTGTCACAAGAGGCTCCTCCATCCCTGGGTGGTATTTTCTCTGGCAGGGTAGTAGGACCATTAACTAGATGCTGCTGCTGTTGCCAGTTTGCCAAACAAAGCGCCCAAAGGAGTTTTGAGTCTGAGAGGACTACTGGGCCGGCTATTTCCATGTAGGTATTTGAGGCCCAGAAGGCGTGGCACGTTTAGGTATGCCTAGCCTCCGAGGGTCTACAGAAGGAAGCTGCAGCGTCTCCTTCCCTTACGTACGTCTTATTGTGGATGTCAATGGCACAAAGGCAGCGAATCACGGAGGACAGCAGGGTCCAGATCCCGAAGGTCCGAGCCTGGAGGCCATTCACTGCGGAGCAGAGAAGAGAAAGAGGGTTGAGATAGAGCCAGGGTCTCTCCTCGCTGCTCCCACATCCTGCGGTGGGGGCGGGAGAGGGGACCCGAACTCCCGTAGACTGGTCTCAGAAGGAGAAGCCAAGGCTGGAGGTGGGAACTGGCAGGAAAGGAAAGAATTCCAGGAGGAGAGAAGGCATCCTAGCTCCTCCGCCCAGGTCTGGAGTTGGGATGGGGAAGCTGCAAGAGTGAAGGCCCAATAAGATGCCCCCCTCTGAGGGCAATAGTTGCCCTGGGTAGTACTTTCTGCCCCGGGAAGCCAGTCTGGGTTCGGCGAAGCTTAGCAAATCTGCATCATCAGGACGGCAGGGGAATTTCTCTTCTCTGGGTCAGGGATTGCTTAGAGGGTGAATCAGGAGCAGATGGCAGGGGCTGACTTTCAAGGCTGGCCCGTGAGAGAATTCAGCTTCCAGGACACCGAGATGTAGAGGTGATCTGGTTGTGGCATGTTACCTCACACACCACCAGGGCTGCTTGGGTTGATCTGGCTGGGTTGATCTGGCTGGCTAGCATGGTGTCCCTGTTCCCCCTCACCACTCCATGCATGCCACTCTTGTGTGCTCGGTATGAGCCCGGCTTCCCTGGTTAGAGACAGACTCACAGACCTGCATACACCTTGAGTCAAGGGCGTGTGAGCCACAGCGCTCCCCTGCTGGAGCCTCCAAACAAGCTCTCAGATTCAGAAGCCCATCTAAATGCCAACATCTGGCCCAAGTCAGTGCGTCTTTCACCCCAGGTCTCTGTTGTGTGAACAAAGCCCAGAACAGGCGGGTTTCCTGTGCAAGTGATTGCGGGATCCTATGCGGGTTCTTCGGTGTGTCCACTCGTGTGCGGTGCCTGCGTTTGAGCACTGCAGCCTCAGACCTTGTCCTGAGAGTGAGGGTCCTACTCCATCGTGATGTGCTTCCTGACTTTGGGCACTTATTACCATCAACTGACACGGGGCTGTCATACAGCAGGGAGGGTTCTTGCCATGCAAGTTGGGGAACAAGGTTTGTTCTCTGGCGCCATGGACTGTCCTGAGTGCCACTAGGAGTGATCCCAGAGTATAGAGCCAGGAGTAAGCCCTGAACACAGCTAGGTGTACACCTGCCCCCATATTATTACCTGACCCGCCATGTTGTTTCCCACCCACCCCCCTCCTTTTCCCTCTCCCACCGCTAAATAAATCAACTGACTTGTCATTGTTTTTTGTTCTGGGGCCAAGCTGGCAATGCTCAGGGGTTACAAGTAGCTCTGCACTCAGGAATAATTCCTGGCAGTGTTTGGGGGATCATGTGGGATGTCAGGGACTGAACCCAGGTCGGCCGTGTGCAAGGCAAACACCTTACTGCTATACTATTTCTTCAGTTCCTCAACTGACATTTTATAAAATTCTGAAGACCTAGGTCCCAGAACAACAAAGCCAAAGTCTCTGCAGGTGAGGACTGGCCATAGGTACATATATCTAAAAACCCCAGCCTGAGTGATTTTCACGTAGAGCATTGATCTACAATGAAAGCAGAGATATTTCCTTTGCTGGTCTATCAAGCAAGAGAAATATCAAGGGTCAAGACTGACAACTGGAGGGGATGGAGCGATAGCACAGTGGGTAGGGTGTTTGCCTTGCACACAGCTGATCCGGGTTTGATTCCCAGCATCCCATATGGTCCCCCAAGCAATGCCAGGAGTAATTCCTGAGTGCAGAGCCCTCAGTAACCCCTGTGCATCACTGGGTGTGATCCAAAAAAACAAAACAAACAAACGAAAAAAAAGACTGACAACTGGAAAGTCGATTAACAGTGACCTGGGCCTTTAAGGTTTATTTTTGCCTTTAGAAAACCCAGTCCACAGTCCTGCAGAACTTCAGCTGGAAGTCAGAAAGATTACCTTTTTTTTGTTTGTGGGGTGGGGGGTTGCGGTTGGCAGTGCTCAGGGATCACTCCTGGTGGTGCTCAGGGGATCATTAGTGGTGTTGAGCATCAAGCCAGGGTTCCTCACTGGCAAGGCAAGTGCCTTCCTTGTGGCACTATTTCTCTGGCATGGGCTATATTCTTATTATGGGGAGGGGGTGACACCCAGCAGTGCTCAGTGCTGACTCCTGGCTCTGTGCTCAGGGATCACTCCTGGTGGGCTCAGAAGACCATATGGATGCCAGGATAGAACCTGGGTCAGCCACAAAGGCAAGGCAAACACCCTCCGGGCTGGAATATCTCTCTGGCCCCAATGGGCTATATTCTTATTTTGTTTGTTTTGTTTTGGGGCCATTGGGACAGAACCTTGCATTCAGACAGGTAGCGAGTGAAGAGCCGAGCCAGTGTATTGATGAGTACTGACGGCAGGTTCTTCAGGTGTTCAGGTCTGACCTTGTCTGGGCCGGGTGCTGTCTGAATGCAAGGTTCCGTCCCAATGGAAAACCAGCAGGACCGTACTACTGTTCAAGAAGGGAGACATCCATGACATTGGCAACTATCGCCCGATCTGCCTATTGTCTGTCATCTACAAGTTGTTCACTCGAGTCATCCTAAATAGGATTGGCAGAACACTAGATGAAGGACAACCATGCGAGCAAGCCGGGTTCCGCAAAGGATTCAGCACCATCGACCATATCCACACGATAACCAAGCTCATTGAGGTTTCTCGGGAGTTCAAGATGCCGCTCTGTTTAACGTTCATTGATTTAAAGAAGGCCTTTGATTCTGTTGAGACGGAAGCGGTCATTGAAGCCCTAGCCAATCAGGGCATTCAAGCCCAATACATCAGGATCCTTCGTGAGCTGTATTGCGGATTCACTACCAGGATCTCACCATTCTACAAAGAAGTGATCGTTGATGTCAAGAGAGGGGTGCGGCAGGGTGATACCATTTCACCAAAACTTTTCAGTGCCACCCTCAAGAACATCATGCGAAGACTGGAATGGGAAGGAATGGGAGTGAAGATAGATGGTCGGCAACTACACCACCTCCGCTTTGCTGATGACATTGTTTTAATAACACCAAACATCAGCCAAGCGGCACAAATGCTAGCCGACTTTGACCGTGAGTGTGGAAAGGTAGGACTACAGCTGAATCTTACGAAGACAATGTTTATGAGAAACAGCCTTGTTCCTGACACCCCATTCACTCTCAATGGAACAACCATCTCCGAATGCAACAGCTATGTGTACCTAGGTCGAGAGGTCAACATGACAAATGACCTGGCACCTGAGCTGCGCAGGAGGAAGAGAGCGGCTTGGAACGCTTCAAGAACGTCGAAGAAATAGCTAAGAGGACGAAGAACCTCCGGCTCCGGGCACATCTCTTTGATTCCACTGTTCTTCCTGCATTAACATATGCCTCAGAGACCTGGGCCCTACGCAAACAAGATGAGAACACTATTCAGATCTCCCAAAGAAGAATAGAAAGAGCTATGCTTGGAATATCACGTTTCACTCAAATGAGAGAACGAATCCGGAGTTCTGACATCCGTCGACGATCAAGGATCAGGGACGCTGTCTCATTTGCCAAGGTGTCGAAAATCAGATGGGCTGGTCACGTAATGAGATTTAAAGACGACCGTTGGACTAGAGCTGTTACTGATTGGATTCCACGGGATGTCAAGAGACCGTGTGGCCACCCACCTACCAGATGGTCAGACTTCTTTGTCAAGATCATGAACGATCGGTTTGAGGCCCTTCATGTTCCCGGAGCGAACAGATGCCATTGGGCTACACTAGCACGCGACAGGGACAAGTGGAGACGTTACTGGCGCCCGCTCGAGCAAATCGCCGACTAACGGGAAGTTAAGTGATTAAGTGATTAAGTTTTGGGGCCACACCCAGTGATGCTCAGGGTTTACTCCTGACTCTGAGCTCTGAGATCACTCCTGGCGGTGGGTGCTCAGGGAACTTTGGGGGGATGCCAGGGATTGAACCTGGGTTAGCTGCGTGCAAGGCAAGCACCGTACGTATCTGCCGTGCTATCGCTTGAGCCCTGAGATATATTCTCAATAAATAAATTTCATCTTTCAATGAAAAGATAGGAAATTTCTCTAGTTAAAGACACGAAAGTGGGAAATTCTCCAATCTGAGCTAGATTCAGTGTCGGGTAAAAGTCTAGGAATGCTCAGGGCACCGCTGTGTTGCAGAGTGTCTAGGGACAGCGCCAGAGCCCATGGTGGGGATACACCAGCAGGCAGACGGGCATTCTGAGGCCTTTACTCATTTCAGCAAGTCACACAGGTCTGGGCTTCTTGACCTCAAATTCCAAATAACTCGATAACCTTGAAATCTATGCAGGCTCCCTCTACGGAGGGCAGCAACTGGGCTGCAAAGGTAAAGCTGTGCCACCCATCTTCCTAGATCTTTCTTGTTGGATTTGAGCTTTCTTCAAAGAGAAGCGGCCTGGCTGGGGTTGTGGCTCTGTGTCAAGCTCACGCCTCTAGCCTCTGTGAGCCCTGGGTTTGATCCCTGGCCCCGGGTTGGGGTGAGGGGCAGGAAGCCTTAGCCTACTTAGTTCCATCTTCTACCAAGGTAGAGCGGGAACTGAGCCAGGGCACAGACTGAATCTAGGTTACATATGAATGTCACTCTGGGTTGTCAGCTGCCAGGAGGCGCTGTGGACAATCATGTACGGTAATGCGTGGCAGTGCCAACCACAGCATGAACACTCTGCAGAAGGGTTTGAGGGACTGGCACAGGCCACCACGGACCTTTGGGGGTTCTGTCTGGGGGTGGGAGGCAGGCACCAATTCACCTGTTGTTTCTGGAGACATCCCTGGGGCTGAGGTGACACATGGGGAGAACGTGATAAGCAGTTCTTCCTCTTCTCAACCCCTTGTGCCAAGGACGTGCTCTCGGATGAGAGCTGGGACCCCAGCAAAGGCTGTCTTCTGGCCTCCCAGTGGGGCATCCGTGCCTCCAATAACTCTTCCGCAGTTATTGGAATACCTTTTCTGCAGACTAACTTCCAAGTTAAAAGTGAAATGTCTGAGAGGTGATCAGAGGGGGTAAAGGGGCCAAGTGTGATCCACAAAATATGTCATCTCAGTCACTGCCCACAGCTCCATCAGGCAGCCTCACGGGGCTATCACCCTTGAGTTTGCGTTTTCAAAACCTGCTGTCCTCAGCAGGGGGGCCAATTTCCCAACTGGTGGTCAGAGGGAAATGCACACCTATACCTTTATTTGCTGGGTTTTTGAGCTTCTGTTCCGCCCCTGCCATGCCAAGGACAGAGCAGTGCCTCCTATATGCGAGGCAAGAACCCAATCACTGAGCCACCTCCCCTGCCAAGTACAGGTGGGTCTGCAAAGCCCGGTGGATCAGGCCATTCCCACGAAACATGTGGCTCTGACTCCTTACCAAGGTCTGGCTTGCCGGTGTAGAGCTTCTCGTAGAGGAAGGAGTGGTCCCGGAAGCTCTGCAGCGTGTTTCCCGCGGCGATGATGGACACCATCACCAGCCAGCTCCGTAGCACGCTTAGGAACCGACTCATGACGTCCTGCACGCCTGGAAATAGAGGCAAAGAACAGAACTGACAGTGGTTAGGTGACTTTAAGCAGAAGCTCTCCCACCTCCACAGTTAACCTGTGTCTCACTCAGAAGAGCTGTCCTACACTTATTGGTCAATCATTGTCTTCAATTCCTGTCCAAGTCCTGTCGGCTCATCTACCCACAGTTATCGCAACACTACTCTTACACCACAGGGGCACACTCAGGAATTATTCCTGGTGCTGCACGGGGGGACAATATGGATGCTGGAGATCAAACCTGGGAAAGCGTCCAACTTGCTGTACTATTGCTCTGGCCTGCATGTTGCCCTCTGTCTTGAGTGAAAAGGGCTAAATTTTTCAGTGGATAGAAACCACTCAAGCTGGGGTGAAGAAAAAGAAGGGAACAGAAGGAAAGAAGTTGAACAAATCTTAGTGTAAACTGGATTTTATGTGCAAGGTCCAGAGACTGGTCCCCAAATTTAACCATAGTAAAATAGAGGAGAATCCACAGTACATTTTGCAGTAAGAAGAACCAGATTTATCTTTGTCTAAGTCAACATCTCCAAAAAGGTTACTCTAAATCAGGACTTTTTTCTCCTGGTTGGAATCAAACCTCTTATTTTTATACTTCTGGCCTGGTTTTTCATGTCACTCCAGTAAGATAAATAGCTAAAGGTGATTCTAAACCTAACATTACCTGTCTACCTACTAGTGATAGCTTCTTCCTCCATTAAGACAGAGAAGCCTAATGCATGTGAGTGGAAGTGAAACTGTGCAGACTGAATTTATATCCTCATCTTTTTCTCTTTTCTGGCTTTCAGGTACACTATGCTCTGTAAACCAAAACAATCTATTTTTTTTTTAAAATTTTATTGAATCGCCGTGAGATAGTTACAATCTTTCATGTTTGGGTTACAATCATACAATGATCAAACACCTATCCCTCCACCAGTGCATATTCCCCACCCCCAATATCCCTGGTATACACCCCCCCCTTTCCCACCCTCTTCCTGCCTCCATGGCAGACAATATTCCCCGTATTCTCTCTACTTTTGGGCATTATTGTTTGCAATACAGACACTGAGAGGTTATCATGTTTGGTCCTTTATCTACTTTCTGCACACATCTCCCATCCCCAATGGTTCCTCAAGTCATCATTTTCTTAGTGATCCCTTCTCTATTCCAGCTGCCTTCTCCCCTTTGCTCATGAGGCAGGCTTCCAGCTATGGAGTAATCTACCTGTCCCATGTATCTACTATCCTTAGGTGTCAACCTCATGTTAAGTTGTTTTATACTCCACAAATGAGTGCAGTCCTTCTATGTCTGTCCCTCTCTTTCTGACTCCTTTCACTTAGCATGATACTCTCCATGTCTATCCATTTATAAGCAAAGTTCATGACTTCATCTCTCCTGACAGCTGCATAGTATTCCATTGTGTAGAAAACCAGAACAATCTAGAAGCTTAAAACAAACCACAGTGAAGGCTGTAGAGATAGTATAACAAGTAAGGTGCTTGCCTTGCATGTGGCAGACCTGGGTTCAATCCTCAGCACTGCACAGGATCACCCAAGCTAGCCAAGAGTGATTCCTGAGCGCAGAGCCAGGAGTCAGCCCAGAGCATGGCTAGGCTCAGGCTCCCCAAAATCAATCAATAAATAAACTACAGTGACTCAAGAACTAGTGAACAAATTACATGAGGGAAGGAAACAGCAATCCTGGTGTTAGACTGCAAGAGAAATAATAACCAACAGTCATTGTGCATTTGTTGTTTTTATTATTGTTCTCTCCATCTTACAGAGAAGGTTGGCATAGAGAAGTCAAGTGATTTGCCTGATAAAATACAGCAAATATATGGCAGAGCTGAGGTGTAAAACATGATTGGTTAGACTCTATTGCAATACTGCCTCATTGAGAGTATTATTTTTTATGGGGGATTTGACCCCCCCCCACCCCCGACTGTACTCAGGGGTCATTTTTGGTGGTTCTGCCTTTAGACACATGGCATTTCAGGTAAACTCTTAGACACCCCAGCAGACAGGGGCAGGATCCAGTACTCCTCTGAATTACTTTAGCAATTACTTTAGCAACTTTGTTTCTCTAAAGCACAAGGGTCTCCTAAAATCCAACTTTTTCTTTTTAAACTGTGCCTTGGCCCATGTCTTAATAAATAAGAGACAGAAAAACCTATGCCAGCCTTGTTGTACGACCCTGTACAAGCAACTTTCACGTTCAAGCCCAGATTTCCTCATCTGTAAAATGAAGACAGAAGATGCTATTTCAAGGGTGATGATAAGGATTACTCGAGAAAGTGATGGTTTCTCCCACAGTACTAGGTTCAGGGGGGCCCTCTTTTCGTTCATTCATTCATTCATTCATTCATTCATTGGCTTCCGGAAATTAACAAGCCCTCACCTTCTGGGCTCCACCTTCTCAAGGTCTCTCGAGTCTCTTTCCTCCCAAAAGAGATTGCTTTCTAGGCAATCTTTCCCATTCATCCGTCTCCATCCCCCGCGACTTCCCGGGGCCTCTCATTCCGATGTCACACAGACCCCCTCCGTCTCTCTTCTCGCCCACGACCCCCTTACCTGGCAGCCGGACTCCGGCAGGGCAGCAGCCGAGCAGCTTCCCCAAGAAGCCTACTCCAGCCTAGTCCACCTGGGCTATCTGTTCCCGCCCCCACCCCCAGCCGGCTCCACGATTGGCTCGTTTTCACCGGTGCGCCCACTGATTGGCTGTTCCCTTCTTTTGCTCAAGCCTGGCCATGGGGCGTGAGCCCCCCTCCTGCCAATCAGCAGTGGCCGCTGCCCCAGCCTCGCCCCCTCTCTCAGCTCGGCCGCTCACGCCGTGAACCCCTCCTGGAGAGAGTGGCGGAACAACTCGGGTTGTCGGTGCCCGCCTTTCAGGGGTGGGGTGTGGTGTGGTGTAGTGGCGGGGGGTGGGGGGGTGCGGAAGGAAAGCAGGGATGCCCCGTGCGGCCAGAGCGGGGCCCGGCGCCCGCGCGGCGCGGCCGTGACGACATCAGCCTGCGCCCGCGGGGCGGCGAGCGCCTGCGCAGTGGCTCTCGGCGGGCGGTTGCTTGTTGGTTGTTGTAGTAACGGGGGAAGCAGCCGTCGGCGGCTGCCGTGAGCCCGGCTGGGGAAGGAGGAGGGAGGTAGGCGCAGAACGCGGTCCCCGCCCGCCCGCCCCAAGCCATGGGAAGATGAGACAGGTAAAAGCCCGGGCCCGGGCGCTCCCGGGGCAGCGCGGGCGCGGGCCGGGCGCTTCCCTCAGGAGCCCGGGAGCTGCCGCGGGCTTCCGGGCGCGCCTGGCTCCGCCGCCCTCCCGGCGGCCGGCAGCTGCGGACCCCGCGGGGCCGGGGGGCCGGGGCGGGGCTGCGGGACGAGGGGGGGGGTCGGGGGGCGGAGGGTCCTGAATCTTCTCCCCCCCCCCCCGCACCCCCCTCACCATCGCCCCGTCTCTTCCCGCCTCTGCGGACAGCCCCAGGACAAGGTGTGGGGGGCATCCTTTCCTGAGTTGGAGGTGTTGTGTTTGTTTTATTGGAATGGGAAGGAGTTCTTTTTGAAAAAAAAAATTATTTTTGGTTTATTTTTAAATGATCGAGACGTCCCACTGGGACTCGGAGCGGAACAGCCTTGAGATCGTTCACTCGCTCATTCATGCCCGTTTGGAAGCTTTTCCCCTGCGCTGACGTTTTGGTCCTGTTTTCTTACTCTCTTCCGAGTTGTATGAATGCAGAGAGTGGGAGGGAAAAGAAAAAAAAAAAAAGAAGAATCGGGAAGGATGACCTCGAATGGGTATCTCTGAAGGATGGAGTTGGGGTCACTCAGAGATTTTCATTTGCTCTGTAGTTTCTGTTCCCTTCTTCAGGACGTTACCAACGTAGGTTCTTTTTCACCCGTGGAAGAGTACTTTGTTAGAAACTGGGAAGATCTTGATTTTAATGCCAGTTTGAGATTCAGGTTGTAGTTTGTGATTTTTAGTAAGTGAAATTTGGAAGGAACAAGTAGGACCTGGATTGAGAAAGGTGTGTGTGTGTGTGTGTGTGTGTGTGTGTGTGTGTGTGTCTGTGTGTGTGCTCATATCCCTTCTGGTTCAGTTGTTCAGTTTGTTTTAGTGGAGAAATGAAGACCCAGCATGCTTCTGTTAAAGTTGAAAGAAGCATTTGCAGAGATCTAAAATCTTGATTTTTGTTTTGTTTGGTTTCTAGTAAGCTATGTTTTAAGCAGCCAGCTACTGCCTTACACTTAAAGTTAGTTAATGTATTCTTTTGGTGAGTGCTTGGAGTTCCTATGCAAAAGAAAAAAGAGATGTTTGAATATAGTTACAATCTTCAAATGCATAGGGAACTCAGCTGCTTTTGAAAAGAAACAAATTGATCTTTGTGTGCCTGTGAGAGGCTCTGTGATGGGAGGCTAGCTTCTAAGAGCTTGGGTACCATTTTGGTCAGGATTCATTTTTATTGTGTAGAAGATCATCAGCGGCAACCAGGGAGTGGATAACTGCATTATGTTGAGACCCTTTGGCTTTCTTGCAGGAATCTGTGCCACCTAAATCGTTTGATCCTGTGAATCTGCAAGGAAAGGTCTCTGAGGCCCCTGTCTTCTGACTGCATGACAAGCCCTAAAGGAAATGCCAGTCGTGATGGCCCGGGACCTGGAAGAAACAGCATCATCCTCAGAGGATGAGGAGGTGGTAAGCCAAGAGTAAGTAAGAGCAAGCCTGCCTTCCACTCTTTGGCCTAGGAGGGAAAATAGAATCTTTTGCCTTACCTGATGTCCATGTCCCCCGCTTTGGAATTGTTGACGCTGGTCTTAGTCTCCATAATCTCTATAATTAATTCAAGAACTTAAATTATTCAAGTTCAGTCCCCGGTCACAATCGGAACTAAGATAGCCTTGATTTCTGGGCTCCGGCGTGAGCATGAACTCTTGGTATTGCTCCTAATGGATTCTTGGTTGACGCTCTAAGATGGGAGGTTGAGATTTAAACCTCTTTTTCCTAGATTGGAGATGCTTTGCTACTTTGCCTTCTTTAATGTGATTACTTAGAACTAGTGAGTGAAGAGACAGTTTCATTTCGACAAGCTTAAAGTTTAGTTCTGGGGTTCTGTGAGTCTTCTTGGGTGGGTGTATGCTATGTAACCTGGAGAATGGGGATATCCCCCATAAATTTTGTAGGGATGTGACTCGGATCAAGTAGAGTCGTGGCTGTGAAATTATTTTGTAAGTTATAAAGTGCCGTTTGAACATGAGGCACACAGATGTGGCATATAAATATAAGGCAGTATTTCTGGCTTTAATCTTGATTTTAAAGTAGTTTTATTAATATGAAGTTGCAGATTATGTTAAAGTAATTTGGGGGAGAAATGAAGTATTAATAAAGCTTCAGGGAAAGGCTTATCATCACTGTTACTTCATAGAAAATAATAAGACTTGCACTGTATCTGGGTCATTTGTATTCGGGATAGTTAAGTGGGTAATTCCCTCTGGTCACGTTGTCTTCTCCTGCTTGCTTGCTGTGTGCTGGCCTCCTCTTACCACTTCATCAATCCTAACTTCTCCTGCAGGCGGTGACCTTTCTGTCTTCACAGTGCAGCCATTCTTTCACTCATGATTAGTGGGCTTATATGTTGGGCCTGTTATTGGATTGGACGGTGTGAAATCATCATTTTGGTTGGTTAAAAACAGTCATTTCAGCCTGCTCAGGCTAATACAATAGGTACTCAATAAAGTGTTGCTGATTCTCTCATTGGATCAATAAACCAAGCAGGGTTTTTTCCTTTATAGCTCCTTGTATCATGGGTTCTTATGATTTTTTTTTTTTTTTTGTGCCTTGAATCCCTTACCAGAATAAGGGTTTTTGGTGCTTAAAATACCTAAAGGTAAAGGTAAAGGCCCTTCTGTTGTTCGTCGATTTGCTCGAGCGGGCCCAGTAACGTCTCCATTGGAGACTTTGTTGTTACTGTGTTTGGCATATCGAATACGTCACGGGGAGCTTGCCAGGCTCTGCCGTGCAGGCGAGACACTCTCGGTAGCTTGCCGGGGTCTCCGAGAGGGGCGGAGGAATCGAACTCGGGTCGGCCATATTGGCTGCGTGCAAGGCAAACGCCCTACCGCTGTGCTATAGCTCCAGCTTAAAATACATATCTACAAATAAGGCCTATTACACTGAATACAGTTATAAAAATGAAGAGAATCCAAACTTGTCATATAGTAATGTATGATTTTAAAATTAGCACATTAAACAGCAAGATCACTGATTTAAAATTTGGGGATATTTACTTTGATTTTTTTAATGATAGCTGCTTGAAACTTTTTGCACTGTGCATAGGAGATTATCAATACAGAGTGGCCTCTGATGATAACTTAGAAATAGGGAATACTGAGAAAGAGCTGTCTGGACCCTGGTGCTAGCCTTTGATAGCTCAGTGATTGACTGGGGAGAGCTGCGGTCCTCATCTAGATAGGAAGGCTGTGAGCAGAGGTGATCTAAATGGCAGGCTGAAGATACATTGAAACTTAAAATCGGTGATAAATGTGAGTGATGTCAGTGACAGCTGTAATATTAGTAAAAATATTGAATATGGTGTAAAGTCAAGGCAAAGATAATGCTAATACTATTATTTTCTTTTTTCTTTTTGGGTCACACCCAGCGATGCTCAGGGGTTATTCCTGACTCTGCACTCAGGAATTGCTCCTGGCGGTGCTTGGGGCACCATATGGGATGCCGGGGATTGAATCCAGGTCGGCAGCGTGCAAGGCAAACGCCCTACCTGCTGTGCTTTCGCTCTGGCCCCTAATGCTAATACTATTATTGTACTTTGTTGTCTGACTTCTAATTAAGAAATGCTACATTTCTAGTCCGAGTTAGTGAAGATTAAAGGTGCAGCCCACTCCCTCCTATCCAAATTCACAGACCTTTTGCTTTTGTCCTTTCAGACTCTGACCATCGATTGATAACTGTTTATTCGATAGCTCATATCTTGTCAACCAGGCTGTTGTTTTCATACACTTAGGGATCTTAAGGCAATCTTGTACTTCTTTTTTTTTTTTTTTTTTTTTTTTGCTTTTTTGGATCACATCCAGCCATGCTCAGGGATTACTCCTCCCTCTGCACTCAGAGTGCACTCACTCCTGGCAGTGCTCAGAAGACCATAGGGGATGCCAGGGATTAAACCCAGGTCATTCGTGTGCAAGGCAAATGCCCTACCCACTGTACTATTGCTCTGGCCCAGGGCAATCTTGTTCATACCTAGGGCAGTAGTCTTACATTTCTAAGACTTTGGAAGTTAGAAGACCAAAAATCATCTTACAAGTGTGGCAAAGATGTCTACATTTGTGGACTTCTGTTAGGCTTGATCCAATCCCTTGGCAGTATTAAAGTATTAAGGCCTTATAATCCCCAACCTTCGGACTAGAATCAGTCCAAACAGTCCTTGTTTGCCTGCCAGTATTTAAGAAATTAAAGTAAACAGACTCTTTATATAATTTTGCTTGGAGATTCCAAATATAAATTTACATATAGGTATGGAATTTTTTTTTTTTTGGTGTAGGTGTTCAGGAGTTACTTCTGGCTCTGCATTTAGGAACTACTTCTAGCAGTCAACCGGGGACCATGTGGGATGTTGGGGATCAAACCTTGGTTGGCTGTGGACAAGGCAAGTTCCTACCCACTGTACTATCTCTTCAGCTCCAGATGTGGAAACTTCTATAAGAGAATTTAATTGAAGTTTCCTATAGTTACTAAAATATAAAATTTGAAAAGGAATTTGTGAAAATGACTTTCACAAAACCTGACTATATCTTGTTAAAAAGTTTGCTAGTGTTTACATGGGAAGATCATGGGCTAACAATACAGTGAGTGCTCTAGGGGTTCAGAGAAAGAAGGGGATGGCAGGGTGAGCTGGGCCTTGGAGGGAGGGGTTCAGTGGATAGACACGAGTGTGGGAGAAGACATTTGCAGCGGGGAGGAGGTGTAGGGACTTTGGGTTTGCTCCTGGGAGTACATGTTCCTTAGGAGAGAGCTGCTTGAGTTTGGAGATGTATAGCGGCTAGGGTGCTTGCCTTGCAAGGGGCTGGCCTGAGTTCAATACCATGCACCACATAGGATCCCTAGAGCCCCGCCAGGAGTGATCCCTGAGCACAGAGCCAGGAGTATGCACAGAGCACTACTGACTGTAGTCTAAAAACAAGCAAACCAAAACAATGAAAAAAAGAGATTGCTTCTTATTTTGTTTTGTTTTTTGGGGTCACACCTGGTGGTGTTCAGGGGTTACTTGTATCTCTGCACTCATGAATTACTACTGTCAGGATTGGGGGATCACTTGGGATGCGGGAATCAAACCCTGACTGAGTGTGGGCAAGGCAAACGCTTTACCCACTCACTGTTCTATCACTCTGGCCAAAGAGGTTGCTTCTTAAGTTCCCAAACATATAGACTTTCAATGAATAGAACCATAAAAACTGGCCAGCTGGTCAACTAATCATCAGTGAAAATTCTTTGTTCTTTCACTCCTATAAAATGATTATTTTCTTAATATATATCAATATCTGGTATGAACATTTCAAGTCCCAATTTCCCATTTCCTATTTATTTTGAATTTTTTTCTCTTTAGCTCCACCTGGTGGGAGCTCCACTCTTTAGCATCTGACTGAAGTGTGTTTTAGTTGACTTTGTGGGACTAATGATTTGTCTACTTTCTCCTTTATCTTTTCCTTAATTGTCAGTGGAAAGATTTCTCTCCTTGGGACCTGGCTTTCCAAGTCCAGATGGCATATACTCAGAGCTGTGGTTCTTCTCAGCTTCTATTGTGTTCCTAAGTCTTCTCCTGGGTAAAATACAATGATGCTAGTTGGGAGCTAATGCTGGATTGACAAGGAACTTTGTCCTTTGGATAATTTCCACAGTTTCTGTCCAAGACTTTGTAGTTGAGGCCACCTATTTATTTTTTTCTCTTCTGATTTAGAACTAGTGGAAAAATTAAAAGTTGGAAGAAATCACTGGAACCAGCTAGCCCCATGCCCATATTTTACAGGTGTTTAAGATTTAAAAAGCTGACCACAAAAAAATCTTTTTCTTGCCCAAAGTGCCCTATAAATATCCACAAATGGGTACAATTTCCCAAGTCAGAAAGCACAGACATTAAGTATCCACATACCAATTCTAGAAAACAGGAAATGAACGAGGACAGTGTTCTTCCTATTCTTTACTTAAACCAGAGACAGTCAAAAGTCTGTCTCTCCAGTCTGAAGGCTGCCTCGCTTCTAAAATTGGTAGCTTGGCAGTACACTCAAAGTGTTCATCTTTTGAAACTTGGGTGGGACCGTCTGATTTGTGCCTGGGATTTGTGGCTTGCTTGTTGTTAAAGAGTATGAGATTTTGTGAGCAACTAAATCTTGGCTGAAGGGACCGATTTAAGGAGCTGATTAGATTAAGTTTCCAAGAAGTGCATCCAGGGAGGATTGGAGTGTCTTCTTTGTGTCCTGAAATCCCAGGTCCTGTCCCAAACACTGCTGAGTGTTTTTGTTTGTTGGTTGGTTTTTGTTTTGGGACCACACCCAGTGGTGCTCAGTGGTTACTTGTGGCTCTGCACTAAGGAATTATTCTTGATGGGGCTTCGGGGACCATATGGGATATTGGGGGTTGAACCCTGGTTGGCCGTGTGCAATTCATGTGCGTTAATGCCCTAGCCCCAGTTCCTAAAGAGCTGAGTGTAAGGAAGTTCATTTACAAAACGTTACTGGGATGTGACTAGGGCCAGGGAGGGTAGAAGGAACTGCAGGCACACTTGATTTGAGTCCCTTCTTCTTTACTCAACCTGCCTATGGAGTTTGGACAGATTGTCTTTTATTTTACGGAGGCGGTACATCCGGCAGAACTCAGAGTTTAGTCCTGATTCTGTGCTTAGGTATCACTCCTGGCAGGGCTTGGGGGACCATATGTGGTGCTGGGGATTGAACCCAGGTTGGCCATACGGAAGCCATGTGCTGTGTATGGCTCTAATCCCATGGTCTTTAATCCTTTTGAGAGTCTGTTTTCTTCACTTTGTAGTGTGAATAAGAGGAATAGGGGACATCAGCTGAAAGCATAGTTTTGTTGACATGTAGTAGGGATTTTCTTTCCATTCTTTTCCCTGTCTACCTCTCTCACTAAGAAAGGTGAAGGTTTTTTTAATCTGTGAAGTAAATGTCCATCTAAGACTGAACTGAGATTTCCCTAGACTAGGGAAAGATAACAGAGAACCTGATTTGTGGAGGAAGCTCTTTGCTGTTACATTTAGTACAGGCTTTCTTTAAAATATGTGTTTGAATTGTGGGCCTTTCTATTGCACCAGGTTTCCAGACCTGACAAGGCTCTGCCAGGCTGGAGAGACAACATAGCCGGTGGCGCGCTTGCCTTGCATGCAGCTGACCCAGGTAGCCCAGTGTCCAGTTTGGTGCCCCAGCACTGCCAAGAGTAATCCTGGAGTGCACAGCTCAGGAGTAAGCCCTGAGCACTGCCAGGTGTGGCCCAATGACCAAGAGGATGGTAAAAAAAAGAGAAGGCAGCACAGAGTGAAAAGGAGCACATCGGTTGTCGCAAATGTACTCCTTAGGATTCCTGATATGTGCTGGGAAACTGGACATAAGCCATTAAGTCATCTTGAATTATGAAGGGATTTTTTTTAAAAAAGACCATAATATAGGAACCACGTGATTCCACCACTCTGTGTGCCATACAAGATTCACTTTTCTCATCCCCTCTCTTAGGCTCCCATGACTTCCTCCTTTACTGACAGCCGCAGCTCTCTGCTCTCGGTCACCAAACTGCTGGTTGGCTGCTAGACCGGCATTCTCTACACTGTCAGGGCAGGACAGGCTGGTGTCGAGGCTGCTAGCGGGGAGAGAGGACGCACTTCCCTCTCAGAGGGCCTGCAACTGTCTCCTGACAGGGGCCCGCTGTTCCCTGACTGCTCCGGGGACTCGGACTGCTCTCCACCCTTGGCGCCCACCTCTGCAACACGGGTGCGGTAGGTCTGAAGTAAGGCATGTGGCTCACCTGGAGACCAGGGGTTCCCCACAACCCCCATGGACTTCTAAGCAGCACAGCCCAGCTCCCTGCTTCAGCTCTCAGCCGAGTGCTGGAACAGTGCCTAATCAAGCCCTTTGTTTCGTTTGTAGGGATCATCCGTGTATCATGTGGACTGGAGGCTGCAGGAGAATTCCAGTTTTGGTGTTCCATGCTGAGGCGATCTTGACAAAGGACAACAATATTCGAGTAATTGGAGGTAGGTATGACTTTCCCACAGAAGGCAGGCCTGGCCAGGCCTCAAATAGTTTGGTCTCAAAGCAAAGGGTACCAGAAGCAGATCTGGAAAGGACCATTGTTAGACTTGAAAGTACTGTTTAGGATTTCTTCAGGCTTTATGTTTAACTTTTCATTACTGTCGTGGAGGAACACTCCTGGCTGGGCTTCAGGGGCCGTGTAGTGCTGGGGATTGAGCCCTGGGCCTCAGATGCGCAGGGCATGCTTTTCACTATCCTCTAGCCTTGTATTTGTTCTGCCTATTTAGAAATTTTTCTCTTGGAATTTTTGGGTCACATCTGGCAGTGTGCAGGGGTTACTCCCTGGGGTTTTTTTGCTTTTGGGGTCACACCTGGCAGTGCTCAGGGGTTACTCCTGGCTCTGCACTCAGAAATCACTCCTGGCAAGGGAACCATATGGGATATTGGGAATTGAACACAGGTTGACTGCATGTAAGGCAAATGCCCTGCCCACTGTACTGCCTCTCCAGTGCAGGGGTTACTCTCTGGCTCTGCACTCAAGAATCATTCCTGGCAGGCTCGGCAGACCATATGGTATTGAACCTGGCTTGACAGCATGTAAGGCAAAGGCCCTACCCGCTGTATTTTCTCTGTGGACCCCCGCTTTGAGTTTTTAAAATAATTCCGTGTATGTGTTTATTGCTATTTTAATCACTGTGGTAAAATGCAGACAGCAGCATTGACTGCTCTAGCTGTGCAGGAGCACAGCTCCCGGCATCTAGCATGTTTGTTAGTGCTGGCTCCCGCCTGCCCCCCAAAACCAGCACCTGCTGAGTGGCCACTCCCCACTCCCCCTGTGCTCTGTGGATCTGCCTTTTCTAAGTGTTGGGTGGAAACAGGCTTGTACACTCTGGCCCCTTTTTTGTTTTCTTCCACTCAGCACTGTTGAGGCCACGTGACATCTTATTATCTCGTTCTTGCTTTGGACAATCTGGCAGGCTACCGAATGTAACCTTGCCCACATGGCAGAGTCTGGCAAACTCCCCATGGTGTCCCCAATATGCCAAATACCAGTAACAATGATGGGTCTCATTCTCCTAACCCTGAAAGAACCTTGAATATGGCACTTCTTAGAATCTCAGGGCTAGGACGAAGGAGATGTTACTGGTGCCTGCTCGAGGCAGTCAACGAACAACAGGATGATTGTGATTGGATGATCGTGATCGTGATCCACTCAGCCTAATGTCTTTAAGGTTTGTCCATGTTGGAGCACAAATCTGCCGCCTTCTTTCTGTGCTTGAGTAGTACTGTTCCTGGTGTGGACATTACGTATATGCATCCATCAGGTGACAGAGTTGTTTCTGCCTTTTGGCCTTTGTCAGTTGTGATACTGTGGGCATTCTTAGATGAACTTGGATTTGAATATTTGTTTTCAGTTCTTTGGGGTATATATCTGGGGAAGGAGTTCCTACAAGGTTTCAGGTTCTTGTATTTAACTTGCAGTAGAACTTGGGGCAAGGGTTTTCCATAGTGTACAATTTCACTTTTTCACTTTCTTACCAGTAAGGTCTGTCAGTTTCTCTGCATTTCAAGTAACAATTGTTAGTTTCCATTACAGGTTTACTAATGGAAACTATCTATTGTGGTTTCTATTTGTTTCCACATTTCCTTTGTTTTGTTTTGGGTCCGCCCCCACATTTCTGCAACAAGAACCAGTGACATTTGTGCTTCTTATATGTGTTGATTGTGTATTTTCTTTGCAGAAATCCGGGTCTAAGGTCTATGCCTCAGTTTTAATTGGATTGTTTATTTATTTATTTTTTGAGTTGCAAGAATTCTTTATCCATTCTGAACACGAAACCCTTAATAGGACTTTGGTTTCTAAATACGTTTTTTCTATTTTTCAGTTTGTTTTTTCTTCAATATGACATATATTTTTTTTATGAACAAAGGTTTTTATTTGATGCCTTTTGTTTTCTTTTCCTGCTTATGTTTTGATGTTTTATCTAAGAAACTTTTTTTTTTTGCTTTTTGGGTCACACCTGGCAATGCACAGGGGTTCCTCTTGGCTCTGCACTCAGGAGTTACTCCTGGCGGTGCTCAGGGGACCATATGGGATGCTGGGAATCGAACCTGGGTCAGCCGTGTGCAAGGCAAACGCCGTACCTGCTGTGCTATCGCTCCAGCCCCAAGAAACTATTGTTAGACCCGATGTATGATTCCCTATGATTTCTCCTAAGGATTTCTTCTAAGAATTTTATAGTTTGAGCTTTTATAGTCTCATGGTCTTTGACCCATTTTGAGCCACTATTTTTTAATGTAGTGTGAGGCATTATTGCATATTGTTACTTAGCATGCTAAATTGAAGAGAATTCTTACTAAAAAGTTTTTACTTTTACTGAGACCAAAGCTATTGTACAGTGGGTAGGACATTTACCTTACTTGCAGCTGACCCAGGTTTGATCCCTGACATTGCATATGGTCCTCTGAGCCCTGCCAGGAGTGATTTCCAGTGCAGAGCCAGAAGTAAGTCCTGAGCACAGCTGAGTGTGACCCAGAAACAAAGAAACAAAAACAATCATTTTTATTATTGTTAAAAATCAGTTGACCATAGATGTATGGGTATATCTATGGACTCTTAATATTTCACTGATCTGTGTATTTATTCTTAGACCAGTGTGTGTGTGTGTGTGTGTGTGTGTGTGTGTGTGTGTGTCTCCAGGTGACCCTTGGCCAAAGAGGTCGAATGGCTCAGTGCCAGGGAATGAGGATTTTCTGGTGCCAGGGACCACTCTGGTCACCCCAGTGAGGCTTGGGACCTCCAGGGCCACACATGGACATGCTTGGGTCCCCATGAAGGACTGGGTCAGACTTGTATGGCATGCACTTTAATCCCTGTGTGGTCTCCAGGCCCCAACCTTGCTGTTTTGTTTGTTACATCTTTGTACTTAGTTTTAAGAGTGGGAAGTGTTAATCCTCTTTGTTTTTTTTTTTTTTTCTTTTTGGATCACACCTGGCAATGCACAGGGGTTACTCCTGGCTCTGCACTCAGGAATTACTCCTGGCGGTGCTCAGGGGACCATATGGGATGCTGGGAATTGAACCCGGGTCGGCCGCGTGCAAGGCAAACGCCCTACCCGCTGTGCTATCACTCCAGCCCCTCCTCTTTGTTTCTTGTCAGATTAATTTTTGCTATTAAGCGTTCCTTGGAATTCCACGTGACTTGGGTTATGGTATATAGAAATAGAATTGATTTTTTTTAAAGTCAAAATTCTTAGTTTTATTTGTTTTTCATTTTTAGGAAGTTAAATTTTTTTAAAAATTTTTATTAGTGAAACACCATGAGGTAGAGTTGGAGACTTACAAATTTTTGTGCTTGGGTTTCAGTTATACAATGATCGAACACCCATCCCTCTCACCAGTGCCCTTTCTCCACCACCAATGATCTCAGTATCCTTCCCACCACCACCACCCCCCGCCCAATCTAGAATTGATTTTTGTATATTGTATCATGGAGCCTGCCCCAACTCATTTCTAGTGTGTGTACATGTTTAGGTTCTCTAGAACTGTCTATGTATAAGATCATGCCATCTGAGAATAAAGATAATCAGACTTCTTTCCTTCCTGCCAGATACTTCTTTATTTCTTAAATTTTTTTTTTAAATAAAAAAAAATTGGTGACACCCAGGGGTTTCTGCTGGTTCTGTACTCAGGAATCATGCCTGGCAGCACTTTGGGGATCATATGGGAAGCTGAGGATTGAACCTGGGTTGGCCGCATGCCAGGCAAGTGCCCTACCCACTATACTATTGCTCCAGCCCTATTTCTTAAAGGAATTTTGATTTATCTCCCACTCCTCTTTCCTCTGCTGCTGGTGCTGGTGGTGCTGTGTTGTTACCAGAACTGGGTGGCACATGCCTGGCTGTGGGGCACATGTTTTTACCGGGGTGCTCTTTGGGGTGGCCCAACCGGTCGCAGTGCTCCCCGAGCTTTGTGTTTCTATAGTTGGGGTGCTGTCCTGCGCCAGAGCTCGCCCTCTTGGTGCCCTCCCAGGTTGCCGCAGTGTTTGTGCATACGCTTGCCAGAGGCTGAACTTGTTGGCTGTGGTGCTGGTGAACCTTTTGTTTTTTGGTGTGGAGTGTGGGAGGGGATTGGATGGTGGTCAGGAGCTATTTCTGGCTCTGTACTCAGGAGTGACCCCTGGCCGTGTCCAGGGGACCGTCTGTGGTGTGGTGTGGGGGATTGCACTGGAGTGACTTCCCTCCTGTCCTCTCACTCTGGCCTGAACGTCTTTCCAGCCTCAGAGCTTGCTGAGGTCACATACCTTCTGGGCTACTTCCCCCCCCCCCACCCCCGCCGGCCCCCCTCTGCTGCAGCGGTGGGGCAGAGTGGGAGACACCAGAACTCAGCCTCTTGCTCCAGGGCCCTTCGCTATTCCTCAGGACCCTTTCTTTCTTCCCCTGGTTGCTTTGACTAATTGCCTCATTGCTCCGACGTGAACTTCCAGGGCAGTGTTGAATAGCAGAGATGCTAGTAGGTGTCTTGGTCTTGTTTCTGACCTTCAGGGGGATCTTTCTGTGTTTTCAGCAGTGTCAGTGTGATGTGAACTGTGGGTTTTTCGTGTTGAGAAAGTTTGTTTATAATGCAAGGGTGGTGAATTTTGTTAAATGCTTTGTCTGTATTAAGAGAATTCTGTCTTTCCCCCGTATTAATGTGGTATGTATAATTTGATTGGCTTTTGACCCTTTCATTTTGGGGGGTGGGGTGTTTGGGCTTCACACAGCAGGGCTCAGGGGCTGCTCGTAGCTCTGTGCTCAGAATTGACTGGCAGTGCTCAGGGGACCCTATGTGGTGCTGGGGATTAAACCAGGGTCCATTTTATGGAGGCAAGTGCTTTAATTCCAGCAGTGTCTCTCTGGCCTCTCTGTTTTTCTCTTCTAGTTTTGTTTTGAGTCCATGCACAGCAGAATGCAGGGGGCTATTCTCAGCTTGTTGCTTGGGGGTCAGTCCTTGTGGGTGGTTC